ATTACAGGAAAGACAGTGTCACATACTATAATGTATAGATACAGGAAAGACATTGTTACATACTGTAATGTATAGATACAGGAAGGACAGTGTTACATGCTGTCAGGTATCGATACAGGAAGTACATTGTTACATACTGTAAGGTATAGATACAGGAAAGATAGTGTTACATACTATAAGGTTTGGATATATGAAGGACAGGGTTACATACTGTCCTTCCTGTATCGCTACCTTACAGTATGTAATACTGTCCTTTCTGTATCGATACCTTAGAGTATGTAACAATGTCCTTCCTGTATCGATCCCTTACAGTATGTAACACTGACCTTTCTGTATCGATACAGTGTTACATACTATAACGTATAGATACAAGAAGGACAGCGTTACATACTATAATGTATAACTACAGGAAAGACAGTGTAACATACTATAATGTATAACTACAGGAAAGACAGTGTTACATACTAATCTATACATTATAGTCTGTAACACTGTCTATCCTGTATCTATACATTATAGGATGTAACTCTGTCTATCCTGTATCTATACATTACAGTATTTAACAATGTCTTTCCTGTACCTATACATTATAGTATGTGACACTGTCCTTCCTGTATTGATACCTTACAGTATGTGACACTGTCCTTCCTGTATTGATACCTTACAGTATGTAATACTGTCCTTTCTGTATCGATACAGTGTTACATACTATAATGTATAACTACAGGAAAGACAGTGTAACATACTATAATGTATAGGTACAGGAAAGACATTGTTAAATACTGTAATGTATAGATGCAGGAAGGACAGTGTTACATACTGTAAGGTATCGATACAGGAAGGACATTGTTACATACTGTAAGGTATCGATACAGAAAGGACAGTGTTACATACTGTAAGGTATCGATACAGGAAGGACAGTGTTACATACTGTAATGTATAGATACAGGAAGGACAGTGTTACATACTGTAAGGTATCGATACAGGAAGGACAGTGTTACATACTATAATGTATCGATACAGGAAGGACAGTGTTACATACTNACATACTGTAATGTATAGATACAGGAAGGACAGTGTTACATACTGTAAGGTATCGATACAGGAAGGACAGTGTCACATACTATAAGAGTACCTAGTTAACCGGTAATGATAGTCTTTTCGCTATGATCCGAGAGCACTAGATTAGGATAAAGGCTATGATGTATGTTCTATCACTCTGTTTGTAGATCGCTTTACATCATGATCAAGGTACTTGCCAATTGTCGTCGTTATATGGAAATATGAGTACACTAATAGTAGCAAGTTTACAATATTTACTGTAAATATTGAAATCTTCTTCGGTACTTTCTTACGTGGTTTGAAGACATTTAGTAAACTGGTACAAACTTGGGTGAATTTCCAAACCTTCTACATGTTTTTATTACAAAGTTGCTACACAACCTTTTAGGATCCTTCGATTTCTTCGCCATGAACATGTACCGCTCGGCCCTGGTGACGGATGCCAGTCCGGCCGAGCTAACGACCAGATTTGAAAAAGATGCTGGCTGTGTTCTCAGTGTCGATCCTTCCTGGAAAGAGTATGTATCTTCTTCTTATTTAGATACTTCAAACTTTTAAGAAACATAGCTTTGATAGCATTTTTTAATTCTTCTTTCTTTTTATGACAAAATGTTTAAACTCGTTCGTAAAATATCTTTTCATAAATAAGTATGTTTAATCTTTTTGGCCAGAGGCAGGTCCTTATGCTCTTCAATCTTTTATGTCGATTTACTGTATTAACCTCTTATAGAACATGTGGTGGAAGAATGTATACGACACCACTAGGCATGCGCAAGATGCTTAACTGGATACGCCGTCAATACGGTGATGTACCTATCTTGATAACGGAGAACGGAGCGTGCGACCAAACTGATGGGATAGAAGACCAGGATCGGATAGACTTCATGCGGGATTACACCAACGAGGTGCTCAAAGGTGATGCTCGTATTCTGTTATAGATCAAATCAAATTGAGTATCCCAGGATTAAAGTTATATGTTTACTGTTCAAAAAGTGTTCCACCCTTTGAGTTACATTGTGTATTTTTTTCCGTTTTTCCTTTTTTTCATAGGAACTCATTTCTGTGTAAACTTCATAATTCCTCACTTCATCTTTTTATCAGAAAAACTGAAAAAAATAAAAGCTGAATGATTCTATATTGTATTGAAGCTATTCATCTGGATAAGATCAACGTAACGGGCTACCTTGTATGGAGCATCATGGACACCTATGACATCACGTTTGGGTATGCTAATAAATACGGATTGTATCACATCAACTTCAGCGACCCTAACCTGACCAGGGTTCCCAAACACTCTGCCTCCTTCTATCGACAGTTAGTCTCGGAGAGCGCATTTCAACATGGCTATCCTGGGATTGGAGGAAGAGGCGTCGCCCCAGAAATGGAGAATGAGTTCCTGTATGATGTTTTCCCCGAGGATTTTGTATGGAGTTCAGCGACAGCAGCCTATCAGGTGGAGGGGGGCTGGAATGAGGATGGTGAGTCCAAACGGAAAAAATTGCAGAAGATTTTGAAACTATTAAAATGCAATTGTTTTCTTTCGTTTTTAACTAACGTCAACTCAGGATTAGGATTTTAGGGTTTATACGACAATGTATACATGTGATTTATAAAGAAAACATAACATGAGTCGGTATTTTTATGGAGATGAAGAAGAAAGCACATTGTACTTGCTGTGATTCTGTATTTTGTTTAAGACTATATGCCATATTACGGTGCTTATAACCTCTTTTCTCACTTTAAAGCTGTACAATATTTTTGAACTTCAAATGACGTGAAAGTAAATCAGTCCGTACAACAGGAAATTTCTTATTAATTCTTCAAATTATGATTCATGTCCCTGAGCAAGAGGGTGAGTATGGCAAATTGTAAATTGGCCAATTTCGTTTTCATAGTTATGACACACTTTTTGGTAAAACACTGAAAAATGAATTATTGTTTTGGCGAATTGATCTTGAATATAAGAAGTGGAGTATGTGCATAACGATAATATAACGACAGATTGATAGTAAAAGTATACACTAAATATTCTTTTCCCCTAGGTAACATCTGTATAGATGTATACAGTTTTAATATTCTCAACAGGGCGTGGTCCTTCTATCTGGGATGTGTGGGCACAGACTCCTGGGAAAATAGCCAACAATGACAACGGTAATGTGGCGTGCGACAGTTACCACAAATACCAAGATGATATACAGTTGCTCAAACAGCTCGGGGTACGTTACATTGTTGGTGATGAACTTAATCTTGACGATTCCTTCCCTCATCACACAATCATATATGCTATCATTGTCAACAACATCATATTTATGAGAACAATTTGGCAGTATATGTGTATAACAGTTGTGGTGCCAGATGAATTGTATTTGATATTTATGACAATGCCTTTATAGTAATATTCAATACAAATAAGATATTTCAGTGTGTATCACGGTAGTGTTTTCTAGGATATCTTGAGGTACATATGTCGAGTAGAAAATTTTAATGTCTACCATATATTGTAATGTATTATTTACTACTGATATGATAATATGTAATTTCTTATATAACACTGATATGATATATTGATATGTATTATATAACACTGATATACTACATTGTTATGTACTATATAACACTGATATGATATATTGTAATGAATTATATAACATTGATATGATATATTGTAATGTATTATATACCACTGATATGGTATATTGTTATGTATTATATCACACTAATATGATATATTGTAATGTATTATATTTTGATATAATATATTGTAATGTGTTATATACTACTGATATGATATATTGTAATGTATTATATACTACTGAGGTGATATATTGTAAAGTATTATATAACACTAATATGATATATTGTAATGTATTATATTCTGATATAATATATTGTAATCTTTTTTATATAACTGATATGGTATATTGTTATGTATTATATAGTACTGATATGATATGTTGTAATGTGTTATATACCACTGATATGATATATTGTAATGTGTTATATAGTACTGATATGATATATTGTAATGTAATATATTACACTGATATGATATATTGTAATGTAATATATAGTACTGATATGATATATATTGAGATGTATTCTATAGTAGTGATATGATATATTGCATTTTATTATATAACACTGATATGATATATTGTAATGTATTATACAGTACGAATATGATATATTGTAATGTATTTTATTCTACTGATATGACATGTTGTAATGCATTAAATACTACTGATATGATATATTGCAATGTATTTTATAACACTGATATGGTATATTGTAATGTAATGTATTATATAACACTGATATGATACATAGTAATTTATTATATTATTCTGATATGATATATTGTAATGTATTATTTAATACCGATATGATATATTGTAATGTATAATATACTACTGATATGATATATTGTTATGCATTATATAACACTGATATGATATGTTGTAATGTATTATATACTACCGATATGATATATTGTAATGTATTTTATTCGACTGATGTGATATATTGTCATTTATTATGTAACACTGATATGATATATTGTTATATATTATATAACACTGATATGATATATTGTAATGTATTATATACTACTGATGTGATATATTGTAATTTATGATGTAACACTGATATGATATATTGTTATATATTATATAACACTGATATGATATATTGTAATGTATTATATAATACTGATATGATATTTTGTAATGTATTATATAACACTGATACGATATATTCTAATGTATTATTTACTACCAATTTGATATATTGTAATTTATTATATATCACTTATATGATAAAATGTAATGTATTATATACTACTGATATGATTTTTTGTAATGTATTATATTCTACTGATGTGATATGTTGTAATGTATTATATAACACTGATATGATATATTGTAATGTATTATATACTGCTAATTTGATATACTGTAATTTACTTTAATTCCAAACTTACTAATAAATACGTTTTTTTTTGTATATGCGATACGACAAAACTGCTCTTACCCATATCAGCCCTCGCCGTATCACACTTCAAAACCCGTATCAGCCTCCGCCGTATCTCACCCCAAAACCCGTATCAGCCCGCAAAACCCACATCACACCCCTTTTGGAAAAAAATCGTTTTTCAATATTTCAAAAATCCAAATGCATCATTAGATAGTAGTTTTTATTAGTAAGTATGTAATAAACAGAATAAAACACGCCCTTTTCCATATCACACCAAGTATCAACCCTCGACCAATATCAGCCCTCGGGCCTTCGGCCCTTTGGCTGATATTGCAGTCTCGGGTTAATACTGGGTGTGATATGGAAAAAGGCATGTCTTATTCTCTATATATAACCCTGATATGATATATTATTATGTATTATATTATTCTGATATGATATATTGTAATGTATTATTTGCTTCCGATATGGTATATTGTTATTTATTATATAACACTGATATGATATATTGTACTGTAGTATATACTACTGATATGATATATTGTAATTTATTATATAACCTTGATATGATATATTGTTATTTATTATATTATTCTGATATGATATATTGTAATGTATTATTTAATACCGATATGGTATATTGTAATGTATTATATACTACCGATATGGTATTTTGTAATGTATTATATACTACTGATATGGTATATTGTAATGTATTATATACTACTAATATGGTATATTGTAATGTATTATATAACACTGATATGATAAATTGTAATGTATAATATAACACTGATATGATATATTGTAAAGTATTATATAACACTGATATGATACATTGTAATGCATTACATAACACTGATATGATGTATTGTAATGTATACTATTCTACTGATATGATATATTGTAATGTATTATATTTTACTGATATGATATGTTGTAATGTATTATATACTATTGATACATGTATGATATTTTGTAATGTTTTATATAACACTGATATGACATATTGTTATATATTATATAACACTGATATGATATACTGTAATGTATTATATACTATTGATACATGTATGATATTTTGTAATGTTTTATAGAACACTGATATGACATATTGTTATATATTATATAACACTGATATGATATACTGTAATGTATTATATACTATTGATACATGTATGATATTTTGTAATGTTTTATAGAACACTGATATGACATATTGTTATATATTATATAACACTGATATAATATATTGTAATGTATTATATACTACTGAGATGATATATTGTAATGTGTTATATACTTCTGATGTTATATATTGTAATGTATTATAACTTACTGATATGATATATTGTAATGAATTATAATTTACTGATATGATATATTGTAATTTATTATATAACCTTGATATGATATATTGTTATTTATTATATAACACTGATATGATATATTGTAATGTATTATTTGCTTCCGATATGGTATATTGTTATTTATTATATAACACTGATATGATATATTACAATTTGTTATATACTACTGATATGATATAATGTAATGTGTTATATACTACTGATATGATATATTCTAATGTGTTCTATACTACTGATATGATATATTATAATGGGTTATATACTACTGATATGATATATTGTAATTTATTATATAACACTGATATGATATATTGTAATGAATTATAATTTACTGATATGATATATTGTAATGTATTATTTGCTTCCGATATGGTATATTGTTATTTATTATATAACACTGATATGATATATTATAATTTGTTATATACTACTGATATGATATAATGTAATGTGTTATATACTACTGATATGATATATTATAATGGGTTATATACTACTGATATGATATATTGTAATGTATTATTTGCTTCCGATATGGTATATTGTTATTTATTATATAACACTGATATGATATATTGTAATGAATTATAATTTACTGATATGATATATTGTAATTTATTATATAACACTATAATATATTGTAATGTGTTATATACTACTGATATAATATATTGTAATGTATTATATTTTACTGATATGATATGTTGTAATGTATTATATAACACTGATATGACCCATTGTAATGTATTATATACTATTGATACATGTATGATATTTTGTAATGTTTTATAGAACACTGATATGACATATTGTTATATATTATATAACACTGATATAATATATTGTAATGTATTATATACTACTGATATTATATATTGTAATGTGTTATATACTACTGATATGATATATTATAATGTGTTATATTCTACTGATATGATATATTGTAATTTGTTATATACTACTGATATGATATAATGTAATGTGTTATATACTACTGATATGATATATTCTAATGTGTTCTATACTACTGATATGATATATTATAATGGGTTATATACTACTGATATGATATATTGTAATTTGTTATATACTACTGATATGATATATTGTAATTTATTATATAACACTGATATGATATATTACAATTTGTTATATACTACTGATATGATATATTATAATGGGTTATATACTACTGATATGATATATTGTAATCTGTTATATACTACTGATATGATATATTGTAATCTGTTATATACTACTGATATGATATATTATAATGTGTTATATTCTACTGATATGATATATTGTAATTTGTTATATACTACTGATATGATATAATGTAATGTGTTATATACTACTGATATGATATATTATAATGTGTTATATTCTACTGATATGATATATTGTAATTTGTTATATACTACTGATATGATATATTCTAATGTGTTCTATACTACTGATATGATATATTATAATGGGTTATATACTACTGATATGATATATTGTAATTTATTATATAACCTTGATATGATATATTGTTATTTATTATATAACACTGATATGATATATTGTAATGTATTATAATTTACTGATATGATATATTGTAATGTGTTATATACCACTGATATGATATATTGTAATGTGTTATATACTTCTGATGTTATATATTGTAATGGATTATAATTTACTGATATGATATATTGTAATTTATTATATAACCTTGATATGATATATTGTTATTTATTATATAACACTGATATGATATATTGTAATGTATTATTTGCTTCCGATATGGTATATTGTTATTTATTATATAACACTGATATGATATATTGTAAATTATTATATAACACTGATATGATACATTGTAAAGTATTATATAACACTGATATGATACATTGTAAAGTATTATATAACACTGATATGATATATTATTGTGTGTTATATACTACTGATATGATATATTATAATGTGTTATATTCTACTGATATGATATATTGTAATTTGTTATATACTACTGATATGATATATTATAATGGGTTATATACTACTGATATGATATATTGTAATTTATTATATAACCTTGATATGATATATTGTTATTTATTATATAACACTGATATGATATATTACAATTTGTTATATACTACTGATATGATATATTATAATGGGTTATATACTACTGATATGATATATTGTAATGTATTATAATTTACTGATATGATATATTGTAATGTATTATTTGCTTCCGATATGGTATATTGTTATTTATTATATAACACTGATATGATATATTATAATGTGTTATATTCTACTGATATGATATATTGTAATGTGTTATATACCACTGATATGATATATTGTAATGTGTTATATACCACTGATATGATATATTGTAATGTGTTATATACTTCTGATGTTATATATTGTAATGGATTATAATTTACTGATATGATATATTGTAATGTGTTATATACTACTGATATAATATATTGTAATGTATTATATACTACTGATATGGTATCTTGTATATATTGTAATGTATTATATACTACTGAGATGATATATTGTAATGTGTTATATACTACTGATATGATATATTGTAATCTGTTATATACTACTGATATGATATATTGTAATTTGTTATATACTACTGATATGATATATTGTAATCTGTTATATACTACTGATATGATATATTCTAATGTGTTCTATACTACTGATATGATATATTATAATGTGTTATATACTACCGATGTGATCTATTGTAATGTATTATAATTTACTGATATGATATATTGTAATGTGTTATATACTACTGATATGATATATTGTAATGTATTATATTGTACTGACTTGATATGATGTAATATATAATATACTACTGACAAGATGTTATGTATTATTCACTACTCTCTTAATAATGTTTTGACAATATCATAAATACATTGTTTATATCAGACTTGTTTGAAAGCTATAAAACATAACAGGCTTAATAACGATTTCTTGTTTGCTGCGCTGTACTAGCGAGGTGGGCCGTATCGTCCATTTTCCCTTGATATTCTTTGAGAAAAACGTAGACATTTGTCTTGCTGTGTAATGCTGATATCTGATTAACATAATCAGTACAACTTATGTATGAAGAGACATATTGCCATATTTGAAGAAGAAAAAATTGATGCAGTACAATGCATTGCATACGGACGAAAAGCATGCTGCAGAAAAGGTTGGAAAAGTCGAAAAAGAGAAATGTTGAATGCGAAAATTTTTACAGTTTCAATCAGAGACACGGCCATTTTTTGAATTTTATTTTATCTTCCTCAGGTTTCGCACTACCGCTTCTCTATATCTTGGTCGCGAGTGTTACCGAACGGCACAGTGTCAAGTGCGAACCAAAAGGGTATTGATTATTACAACCGTCTAATCGATGGTCTGATGGCTGAGGGGATCCAGCCCATGATTACACTCTACCACTGGGATCTGCCTCAGGCCCTACAGCGCGAGTACAACGGCTGGCTCAATGAATCCCTTATCGATATTTTCTCAGAATATACCGAATTCTGCTTCAAACACTTTGGAGACCGGGTATGCTGATTACTTACCATATTTTAAAGGTTTTCAAGGAAACATTAGTATATACTCAATTGTAGCGTTTCAGATTCATTTAAAGTGCTTGATTAGATTAAGCAAAACACTATGGGGCGTTCTAAAACAGCAAAAGTGGAAAATACTAAAGTGGAAAAAACACATCCGTTGCCCTTATAATTGAACTTTAGAACTATTGATAAAAGAACCTGAATATTTGTTTACAATACACAACAAATATTTATAGCCATGAAAACTCCATGGCAACTAACATGCACCGGTCAAGTCTGTCCCTCTTTAACCTTTGTTAACAAGCACCGGTCAAGTCTGCCCCCCTTTAACCTTTGTTAACATGCACCGGTCAAGTCTGTCCCTCTTTAACCTTTGTTAACAAGCACCGGTCCAGCATGTATCTCTTTACCTTTTTTTAACAAGCACCGGTCCTGTCTGTCTCTCTTTAGCCTTTGTTAACAAGCACCGGTCCAGCATGTCTCTCTTATATCTTTGTTGACAAGCACCGGTCAAGGCTGTCTCTCTTTAAGCTTTATTAGCAAGCACCGGTCCAGCATGTCCCTCTTTAACCTTTGTTAACATGCACCGGTCAAGTCTGTCCCTCCTTAACCATAGTTAACAATCACCGGTCAAGTCTGTCCCCCTTTAACCTTTGTTAACAAGCACCTGTCCAGCATGTCTCTCTTTAACTTTTGTTAACAAGCACCGGTCAAGTCTGTCCCTCTTTAACCTTTGTTAACAGGCACCGGTCCAGCATGTCTCTCTTTAACCTTTGTTAACAAGCACCGGTCCAGCATGTCTCTCTTCAACCTTTGTTAACAAGCACCGGTCAAGTCTGTCTCTCTTCAACCATTAAAAGAAGGTACCGATCAAGTCGGTCGTTCTTTAACCTTTGTTAACAAGCACCGGTCAAATCTGTCTCTCTTTAAGCTTTGTTAACAAGCACCGGTCAAATCTGTCTCTCTTTAAGCTTTGTTAACAAGCACCGGTAAAATCTGTCTCTCTTTCAGCTTTATTAGCAAGCACCGGTCAAGTCTGTCTCTCTTTTACCTTTGCAAATAAGTACCGGTCAAGTCGGTCATTCTTTAAGCTTTGTTAACAAGCACCGGTCAAATTTGACTCTCTTTAACTTTATTAACAAGCATCGGTCAAATATGTCTCTCTTTAACCTTTGTTAACAAGCACCGGTCAAATCTGTCTCTCTTTAAGCTTAATTAACAAGCACCGGTCACGTATGTCTCTCTTTAACCTTTATTAACAAGCACCAGTCAAGTTTAACTCTCTTTAACCTTTGCAAAGAAGCACTGGTCAATTATGTATCTCTCAACCTTTGCAAACATGCATTGTTCAAGTATGTCTCACTTTAACCTTTGTTAACAAGCACCGGTCAAGTCTGTCTCTATTTTACCTTCACCGGGAATTCTTAATCAAATCATGAAAACAATCGAGCCTTGCTGAGTATTAAACTTTTAACATAAATTAAAGACATGTTTTCTTGTAAAATGAAATTTTTAAAAGACTCATATTTGTCCGCAAAGTGTTTGTTAATTATCCAGATTATTGAAACAAAGACGATTTTTCTTCGAACTTAATGATGAATGCTTATAGTTCCAAAATCATTGATATCGAAGATTCGGCTACTATTCCAATGATCACGTCGTGTTAAATATCAACCTGTTTTACAGTACTCATTGAAAACTTATGTCATACTCTGATACTTGCACTCAGGTAAAGTTTTGGATCACCTTTAACGAACCGTGGATCGTTTCCTGGCTGGGGTACAGTGTAGCCGTGTTTGCCCCGGGGATGTACGGACCTGGAACTAACGCTTATATTGTCAGTCACCACCTGATCCTAGCACACACAAAGTCCTGGCATATCTACAACTCAACCTACCGCCACACACAAAAAGGTAACACACAAAAGGTCCTGGTATATCCACAACTCAACCTACCGCCACACACAGAAAGGTAACCCACACAAGGTCCTGGTATATCTACAACTCAACCTACCGCCCCCCACAGTAAGGTAACACACACAAGGTCCTGGTATATCTACAATTCAACCACGGCCACACACAGAAAGGTAACACACACAAGGACCTGTTATATCTACAACTCAACCTACCGCCACACACAGAAAGGTAACACTCAACCTACCGCCACACACAGAAAGGTAACACACACAAGGTCCTGTTATATCTACAACTCAACCTACCGCCACACACTGAAAGGTAACACACACGAAGTCCTGGTATATCTACAACTCAAACTATTGCCACACACAGAAAGGTAACACACACAAGGTCGTGGCATATCTACAACTCAACCTACCGCCATACACAGAAAGGTAACACACAAAAGGTCCTGGTATATCTACAACTCAACCTACCGCCACACACAGAAAGGTAACACCCACAAGGTCCTGGTATATTTACAACTCAACCTACCGCCATACACAGAAAGGTAACACACAAAAGGTCCTGGTATATCTACAACTCAACCTACCGCCACACACAGAAAGATAACACACAAAAGGTCCTGGTATATCTACAACTCAACCTACCGCCACACACAGAAAGGTAACACACACAAGGTCCTGGTATATCTACAACTCAACCTACCGCCACACACAGAAAGGTAACACACACAAGGTCCTGGTATATCTACAACTCAACCTACCGCCACACACAGAAAGGTAACACACACAAGGTCCTGGTATATCTACAACTCAACCTACCGCCACACACAGAAAGGTAACACACACAAGGTCCTGGTATATCTACAACTCAACCTACCGCCACACACAGAAAGGTAACACACACAAGGTCCTGGTATATTTACAACTCAACCTACCGCCACACACAGAAAGGTAACACACACAAGGTCCTGGTATATCTACAACTCAACCTACCGCCACACACAGAAAGGTAACACACACAAGGTCCTGGTATATCTACAACTCAACCTACCGCCACACACAGAAAGGTAACACACACAAGGTCCTGGTATATCTACAACTCAACCTACCGCCACACACAGAAAGGTAACACACACAAGGTCCTGGTATATCTACAACTCAACCTACCGCCACACACAGAAAGGTAACACACACAAGGTCCTGGTATATTTACAACTCAACCTACCGCCACACACAGAAAGGTAACACACACAAGGTCCTGGTATATCTACAACTCAACCTACCGCCACACACAGAAAGGTAACACACAAAAGGTCCTGGTATATCTACAACTCAACCTACCGCCACACACAGAAAGGTAACACACAAAAGGTCCTGGCATATCTACAACTCAATATACCGCCACACACAGAAAGGTCACACACACAAGGTCCTGGTATATTTACAACTCAACCTACCGCCACACACATAAAGGTAACACACATAGGGTCCTGGTATATTTACAACTCAACCTACCGCCACACACATAAAGGTAACACACATAGGGTCCCGGTATATTTACAACTCAACCTCCCGCCACACACAGAAAGGTAACACCCAAAAGGTCCTGTTATATCTACAACTCAACCAACCAACACACACAGAAAGTTAACACACACGAGGTCCTTGCATATCTACAACTCAGCCTACCGCCACACACAGAAAAGTAACACACAAAAGTTCCTGGCATATCTACAACTAAACCTACCAACACACACAGAAAGTTAACACACACGAGGTCCTTGCATATCTACAACTCAACCTACCAGGTCTTGTCATATCTACAACTCAACCTACCGCCACACACAGAAAGGTAACACACAAAAGTTCCTGGTATATCTACAACTCAACCTACCTCCATACACAGAAAGGTAACACACACCAGGTCTTGGCATATCTACAACTCAACCTACCAACACACACAGAAAGGTAACACACACAAGGTCCTTGCATATCTACAACTCAACCTACCGCCACACACAGAAAGGTAACACACAAAAGGTCCTGTTATATCTACAACTCAACCAACCAACACACACAGAAAGTTAACACACACGAGGTCCTGGTATATCTACAACTCAACCTACCGCCACGCACAGAAAGGTAACACCTATTATCACCAGCTACACAGAAGGTTCTGGTATATCTACAACTCAACCCACCGCCACACACAGAAAGGTACACACAAAAGGTCCTGTTATATCTACAGCTCAACCAACCAACACACACAGAAAGTTAACCCACACGAGGTCCTGGTATATCTACAACTCAGCCTACCGCCATACACAGAAAGGTAACACACACGATGTCCTGATATATCTATAACTCAACATACCGCCACACACAGAAAGGTCACACACACAAGGTCCTGGTATATCTACAACCCAGCCTACCGCCACACACAGAAAGATAACACACACAAGGTCCTGTTATATCTACAACTCAACCTACCCCCACACACAGAAAGGTAACACACACAAGGGCCTGGTATATCTACAACTCAAACTACCGCCACACACAGAAAGGAAACACACACAAGGACCTGGTATATCTACAACTCAAACTACCGCCACACACAGAAAGGGAACACACACGAGGTCCTGGTATATTTTCAACTCAACCTACCGCCACACAGAGAAAGGTAACACACAAAAGGTCCTGTTATATCTACAACTCACCCTACCGCCACACACAGAAAGGGAACACACACGAGGTCCTGGTATATTTTCAACTCAACCTACCGCCACACCCAGAAAGGTAACACACAAAAGGACCTGGTATATCTACAACTCAACCCACCGCCACACACAGAAAGGTAACCCCCACGAGGTCCTGGCATATCTACAGCTCAACCTACCGCCACACACAGAGAGGTAACACACACGAGGTCCTTGCATATCTACAACTCAGCCTACCGCCACACACAGAAAGGGAACACACACGAGGTCCTGGTATATTTTCAACTCAACCTACCGCCACACCCAGAAAGGTAACACACAAAAGGGCCTGGTATATCTACAACTCAAACTACCGCCACACACAGAAAGGGAACACACACGAGGTCCTGGTATATCTACAACTCAGCCTACCGCCACACACAGAAAGATAACACACACAAGGTCCTGTTATATTTACAACTCAACCTACAGCCACACACAGAAAGATAACACACACAAGGTCCTGTTATATCTACAACTCAACCTACCGCCACACACAGAAAGGTAACACCTATTATCACCAGCTATCGGGTTAAACTGCACACGTAGTTGATTTAATGCTGATTTGATTTTGCGACTTGGTATTAATATTATCTATGTTTGTTAATTTATTAGTCGAAAATCATTTTTATCTTAAATGTTGAAGAGTCTTGTTTCTGGTCTTCCCCGATACAAACGGCACTAGTGAAACGAAAATACCAGAAGGAATCGAATTTACAAGGAGAAGGCAACAGAGGCACGGGAAGTGATGAACATCAGAAAAGCAGAGTGTTTTGAATAGTGGACAGTGTTACTAGTGCCGTCTGTGTCGGAGAAGATCACTTCCACGATATCAAATTAAATATCTTCAAGCTATGACACACACACACCCCTCTCTCTCTCTCTCTCTCTCTCTCTCTCTCTCTCTCTCTCTCTCTCTCTCTCTCTCTCTCTCTCTCTCTCTCTCTCTCTCTCTCTCTCTCTCTCTCTCTCTCTCTCTCTCTCTCTCTCTCTCTCTCTCTCTCTCTCTCTCTCTCTCTCTCTCTCTCTCTCTCTCTCTCTCTCTCTCTCTCTCTCTCTCTCTCTCTCTCTCTCTCTCTCTCTCTCTCTCTCTCTCTCTCTCTCTTTCTGTTAGTAACACTAAACTTAATTGAACATATTAATTAATTGAAAAATTGCCATCTTGTATATATATATATTGTTATAGGGAAAGGGCTTTACATAAGTTGGACAACTTGTGCCCAATCCCTTTTGTATATTAGATGCAAATAAAAATATGTTTACATCAAGCACGATGAAGCCGTATTCAACCATTAAAGTAGACAAATGCTTGTTTTGGAAATAACGCTAGAATATGTGGCCTGATTGAAAAATACGACTGTTGAAAATGAGATAAATTTTGGTTACAGGTCAAGTGGGTATAACGCTAAACGCTGGGTGGTCGGAGCCCGAAAATCCCTATAATCCCTCCCACCTGGAGGCAGCAGAGAGGGCAACCCAGTTCGACTTTGGGTGGTTTGCCAATCCTCTTGTCCATGGCGACTATCCGGATGTCATGAAGTGGCAAGTGGGTAATAAGAGTGCACTCCAGGGATTCAACCAGTCCCGACTTCCAGAATTTACAGAGACAGAAAAAAAGATACTTAAAGGTTAGAGAGAATTAATCATTTTAGGCCAAATCATTTCTGAAGCAAGGTAATTCCTGCAGAAATGGCATAGTATCCTGTATTAACTCGGTTGATAGCTCTTTTAGCCATCGAGATGTCGCTAGATAAACATTTTAGAAATGTATTGAAATCCATATTAACACAATGAACAAACCTCATTTTTCAGGTTCGACAGATTTTCTCGGTCTCAACCTGTACACATCTGGTCTGGTACATCCAGTTGATCGAGACATTGATGATATAAGTTATGACGCCGACAAAGACACCGGGGGCTCTATAGACCCAAAATGGCTAGGGTATGAACATATCTTTATTTAATTGCAAAATTGGGTAATTTGATAAGCGGAACCGCAGAATTAATTTTGCCCCATTCCTAAAAAAATGTGGATAGTGTACTACAAAATGTTATATAAAACATAATTTGCTCTTTTGAAGTCAGAAATCATTATAGTTTACAGATTTCTTTTGTAATAGTTATAGCATAGGGCGGCATTATTATATTCCATCTAAAAACTGTGAAATACACCCAAACACTCTTTTTGAAGGTCAGGGTCCAATTGGCTATGGGTGACTCCATTTGGTCTGCGGAAAATGTTGAACTGGATCAAAAACCATTATGGCGATCTACCTGTGTATGTGACGGAGAACGGTGTGTCGGACAGGAACGGGTCGCTGTCGGACGTACACAGAATCAACTACTATAGATCATACATTAACGAGGTGCTCAAAGGTAAGTTACAGGCGTTATAACTACACAATAGATTCAAAGTGAGTAAGAATTTCAAAAAAGGGATTTAATGTGCGTCAATAACGTGCAAACATTAGGCTTAAATGTAATTAAACATGATTGTACGTACTTTTTACACGATGGAGCGAAAAAGGAAACTCGAAGTGTCACATCCTGTAGACTCGCAAAGCTACCCAATCCCCGCAGTAGACTTAAATTTGAAATATCGGACCACCATCTCAACGGCTGAAAACAGTGTCACCATCTCATGCAGAACACTTATCCTATCTTATGCGGCGTTCACACAGTGTCGATTATGGCTCCCGTTTAAGATCAGACAGCGCTTCGACACGAAAATTGGTTTTGTGGTTCCTTACTTATTGTGTGTTTCGTTGCAAACCAAGTCTCTTAATTGTGTGAATAATTGTTTGTGTGGTTCATTGGTTAGTTGCATGGTGTCTTACATATTTAGTTCACCATTAGCGTGGTACATTGCTTGCATAATCATAGTTTGTGTTGTTTTTCCTATTTTGTGTAATTCAGCGGTTGTGTAGTTCACATTTCATTGGTTAGTTTTGTGATATTTTAATTGATTGTGGTTTTGCTTAGCTGTAAGGTTACATAGTCACGTGATACCTATTCAGCTATCTCTCTGAAATGTCATGACCTGAACACGACAGCCACAAAGGGACCTAAGACGTTTTGTTACAGCTGAAAATGTATCTAATGCGGCGTTCACACAGTGACGATTATGGCTCCCGTTTGAGATCAGACAGCCCTACGACACGAAAAGCGAAAAAAGCGGATTACTATTCTCAATGATCTGGAATGTCCTATCATTGTCTGAGCGCAGTCGTATACATTTTACGTTCGTACAGAGTCCTACGGATCGGGAATGGTCCGAGAGGTCGGCCAAGCACTCCCGACAGTTAAGTGCGTCCCGTAACATTCGGGAAACTTAGTCGTTTTTGTCTAGTCGGATTACAATCGTGACTATCTCGTGACTGATTCTGCTGTATCGGATCAAAATCGTAACAATATCGTGTGTTGTTTGGACAGTGTCTTGGCGGTGTCCTCTGGATCAGGACGCTGTCGTGATGAACGGGCAAGATTTGGAGACATTTTTCATTGCCGTTTCTTTCCGGTTAAGTGCAGATTGCGTCCAGATCTTGCCGAATGCATCGGTTCACTGTCCGGTCACTATCTGAACTCTGTCGGATCGCGTTCGGGAGAATCGGGACGCTGTCGGGGCAGATTCGGTCGTTTTTTACCATGAGGAAGATACAAATCGGATCAGATTCGGATTGAGAACGAGAGAATCGGGACGAATTCGTCTGGAAACGGCTGAAACGGGACGCTTCCTGAACAATATATGATTGTTGTCGTGATTAAATAAATGTTTTCTCAAATTTGTGAATTTCCCGCCACGATCACAGGATCTTTATCAGACTTTTGACAAATGTTAATCGGGAGTGGTCCTATCGGCAGTACAAATCCTGAATGTGTGACTGAGGCCTAAAGGTAGTAACAGAGACTTGGTCATGGTGGTACCCGGTTTGTTTGCCGATTTTCTCTTATTAAGACGCTGATGCCATTTCAGAAACAAATATCACTTGGATATATTTTATGATAATATTAACATTTTGGTGGTCTTTACAAACCCAGTCCTAATCATCACGTTTCAACGGATATGGGTTTCATACCTTTTTGATGTTCAGAAAATGCATTCGAATTCGAATTGGATGTACATGTAAATGTGTATATGATAAGCGTATTTTACTGAACCTTTTTGTAAATTACAGCCCGGAAACTCGACCAGGTCAACGTGAAGGGATATACAGCCTGGTCGCTGATGGACAACTTTGAGTGGGGCAGCGGGTACGACGAACGATTCGGCCTTCATTTTGTCAACTTCTCTGACCCTGCACGCCCCCGAACCCCAAAGGAGTCGGCAGTGTTCTACTCTCAGGTCATCAAAGACAACGGTTTCCCACGAGGAGCCATGACAGCCCCGGGCGTCATGACAACCATGCCTTACGAAAATGAGTTTCTGTTTGGAGAGTTTCCAAAGGGATTCGCCTGGAGTGCCTCATCTTCTGCTTACCAAGTAGAGGGAGCATGGAATACAGATGGTACGAATGATTTCTAAGTTTTTGTTTTGTTTGTTTGGGTTACATTCCCGTGCAACAGCCAAAGTCATATGGAGACGGGTGCCAATGGAGGCAATGCCGGAAACATTGAGTAGGGTAGTGAGAAAAGAACACGAAATCCAGAGGTGACAAAGTGACAGTACCCTCCATTCTCAGATATTTCAGTCAGGAAACCCAAAATAGAAACACAATCTAAAATATAACTTTTTTTTTCATATGGTTCCAGGGTAAAACTCGCATAACTAGTAATTATTGGTTTCGCAAATCTTCATGTTATTCTTTTTCTGTAAGGAAAACAACAAGACTTTTGTCGATGTTATTTATTTCTGTCTCCATCCATATCAACACTTATATCAATTTCAAGTTAAAAAAAACCCGAACTGGATTTTATAAAGACGAGTTAAATTTCCCTACTGGACTGTCATTTGAAATATTCTATGGATATAAGTAAAACCAGTATACATATATAACTCTTATCTGAAATATCTCTATTGACATTAGGAAAAGGTGAGAGTATTTGGGATTGGTATTACCACGAGAGTACCGCTGTACTAGACAATGGTGATAGTGCGTGTGACAGCTACCATCACTACACGGAAGACGTCCATATGGTTAAACAACTCGGAGTGAGTACTGTGTTATCTTCTAAAACAAGCATTGACATCTGCGAGAAGCCACAAATCTTCTCCTTCCTATCCGTGATTACATGTATTGTTTCCTCCCAATATTCTATGAAGGCTTATTTTAAACAAGCAATATTAAAATCAAAATTGTTGGGCATTTGTAGAAATAATTTGCAAAAAGAAAGATAACGTACCTAGCTGCCTATATACCCTGCTTGTTTCATACGAATATATTTAAACTCCTACTCAAGTTGAACTCAATGCAACTATCACATTTAACTTGTTTCATTTGCCGATGAATTGGACCAGATTAGCATTGCCTGTGCGTATGAGTTTGCGAATGGATGTAACTTATTTAAACAAAGAAGATACCACTTGATGAGATTTTACATTTCTATTTAAGCTACACAAGAAATTGTTCAAACAACCAAAAACGATCATCCAGCAAATTATTATCAGCTTTCGGTTACTAGCGATAGTGACAAGTCAAGTACTGCGCTAAAAACTATCCCTTTAGCTACCAATTCTGCTTCAAATCGAAAACAACCGTAGATCCATGTGGATCACATATGAAATGCAGTCGAACAGCCAACTGCCATATCGAATTGTTTCGTCCTTTAAAGACACCTCTGATTTCCTGTCTAATTCGACATTCGATTACTGCAGCTTCACATTCCAAAAGATGTGGAACCTCGAAACTTAGCAGCTCTTCACTTCGAGCTAGTAAAAAGATGGCTGCCGTAGACTCGCAGCTGAGCCTGCGCACCGTGTCTATACATTATTCTTCCGCGATATACGCGTCAGAATTTTTTATATCCGATGAATTCATCAACAAAAATTAAAAAGGACATTTAAAATGTGGTTTTGTGTTTTGTTTCTACATGATTTGGCTGTATTGAACTATCAACGTTTTTATTCAATTTTCTCTCAAGAACATTTTTTTTTTTTTTTTAAATATGAAGTCTTAAGGTCATAGGAGTGTATTGCTAAACGGAAATAGGAAGTACATCCCTAGTTGAAAATCCAATGTAGGGAGACAGTATCACAGTTTCCGCATAATCTAATGTTTAATATTGAAGTGATGAATATTGTATGCTTATTATTGACAGAATAGTGTGTTCTTTCAATATTAAAGTATTGCAAAGCAATCCAGGCATTAATTCAGTTGTTTTTTAATCAATGAGTCACATGTGTCCATTTTTCTGTACTTCAGGAAACCGGCTACCTATTTCACTACTGTGAAGTTTTTCAAGAACGATAACTCTTGCATGCAATTACTATGTGTTATATGGGTTTATTATAAAATGTCAATTTTTAATCGTTTATAGATAATTAATTTTACACAATTTCAGCATATATGAAATTGATACACATTAATGCAATACTTATCTATATTAGTATCATTTTTAATGACATTATTTTGCAAAAATTGTATGTTTCAATATTTTTTTCAAAATTCACTCCTTTTTACATAAATTTCCATTTAAAATCCTTAAATTCTGACAACCTATATTTTTTTTGTGGCAGAAAATTGTTTTCACTTCAGAGCAATATAACTATAAAATTTGAATAAATTCCACTGAGAAATAGCGACACAATCCTATTACCTTAAAATACAAATTGTCAATTCAGATGTCGCACTACAAATTCACGCTTTCTTGGTCCCGGATCCTCCCCAATGGTACAAAGGGTGAGATAAACCCGTTGGGTGTGGCGTACTACCATGACCTGATAGACGCCCTCCTGGTGGCGGGGATCAAACCTGTCGTTACACTCTTCCACCTCGACTTCCCACAACCTCTTCAGGACAACGGTGGGTGGCTAAATAAATCCACAGTCGGCTACTTTGTAGATTATGCCAGGATCTGCTTTCAGGAATACGGAGACAAGGTATATTGAGTGATTGGTGTCGTGAAAATATAGCTACAACAGCAATTTAAATTTGATAACAATACAGCTCATTTATGGTATATCATCAATTTATGCGATAGTCTGACGCTATTTTTGCATACTGATTAGTTTCCTGATAAAGAACTCTGATTCCATTTTATAGAAAAAAGGGCGAAATGAACTAATTTGATGTAGTTTTGTGAAATCCTATACGCATTGAATACAGGTGAAGCTGTGGTACACGATAGACGACCCGCACACGTTTGCTGTGTCAGGATATGGTAACGCCACGTCACCACCCCGAGTGTCAGGGATCGGTACAAAGGTTTACAAGGTCGTCCACAACCTCATAATGGCGCATGCCCGCGCCTATAAAGTGTATGATAAGGAGTTCCGGCCCTCTCAGAACGGTCAGTGTTAACTTACGTTTAACAGTCCATATTTCGAGTTATCAAATAGGAAAATCACGCTCATTTTTGCGATTTTTAAATGAACAGTACAAAACATAACGTCCTATATCTTTGTACTTAATTTTGGCCATACTGAAAACCTGAATAAACACTTGCGATGTCAAAATCGTTCAAACAAACACCAAGTATAAGACATGTCTAAGTTCAAACCCATAATAAGAATGGCCTATCGGACAATGAATGAATTTACGATAAACTAGGCACTAAACTGTGAGATAAAGGAGACATTAGAGGCATACAAAAACAGTTTTCCTGTTCATCGAGCTTTTGTCGAGCTATAGTTAAGTGAATCTCATATGCGTTTTTAGGTTCGAAATTTAATCACCATATCAATTGTCTTCAATTGTCATACTGTCATGATTGTATGTGTGTTAACTTCAATCTTAAGTCACACTGTCATGATTGTACATGTGTTGTCTTCAATCTTAAGTCACACTGTCATGATTGTATTTCTATNTTCTTAGAAACACTGTCATGATTGTATTTCTATTGTCTTCAATCTTAGAAACACTGTCATGATTGTATGTGTTGTCTTCAATCTTAAGTCACACTGTCATGATTGTATGTGTGTTGTCTTCAATTTAAAGTCACACAGTCCTGATTATATATGTGTTGTCTTCAATCTTAAGTCACACAGTCCTGATTATATATGTGTTGTCTTCATTCTTAAGTCACACTGTCATGATTGTATATGTATTGTCCTCAATCTTAAGTGACACTGTCATGATTGTATGTGTGTTGTCTTCAACCTTCAACCTTAAGTCACACTCTCAGGATTGTATATGTGTTGTCCTCAATCTTAAGTCACACTGTCATGATTTTATATGTGTTGTCTTCAACCTTACGTCATACTGTCATGATTGTATGTCTATTGTATTCAATCTTAGAAACACTGTCATGATTGTATGTGTGTTGTCTTCAATCTTAAGTCACACTGTTATGATTGTATGTGTGTTGTCTTTATTCTTAAGTCACATTCTCATGATTGTATGTGTGTTGTCTTCAATCTTAAGTCACACTGTCATGATTGTATGTCTATTGTCTTCAATTTTAGTAATACTGTCATGATTGTATGTCTATTGTCTTCAATCTTAGAAACACTGTCACGGTTGTATGTGTGTTGTCTTCATTCTTAAGTCACACTGTCATGATTGTATGTGTGTTATCCTCAATCTTAAGTCACACTGTCATGATTTTTAGTCTTTTGACTTCGAAATTAATAATACTGTAATTATTGTATGTCTATTGTCTTCAATCTTAGAAACACCGTCATGGTTGTATGTGTGTTGTCTTCATTCTTAAGTCACACGATGTCATGATTGTGTGTGTGTTGTCTTCATTCTTAAGTCACACGATGTCATGATTGTGTGTGTGTTGTCTTCATTCTTAAGTCACACTGTCATGATTGTATGTGTGTTGTCTTCATTCTTAAGTCACACTGTCATGCTTGTATATGTGTTGTCTTCATTCTTAAGTCACACTGTCATGATTTTTAGTCTTTTTTCTTCGATCTTAGTAATACTGTAATGATTGTATTCTATTGTCTTCAATCTTAGAAACACTGTTATGATTGTATGTGTGTTGTCTTCAATCTTAAGTCACCTTGTCAAGATTGTATATGTGTTGTCTTCAATCTGAAGTCACACTGTCATGACTATATGTGTTGTCTTCAATCTGAAGTCACACTGTCAAGACTGTATATGTGCTGTCTTCAATCTAAAGTCTCACAATGTCAAGATTGTATATGTGTTGTCCTCAATCTTAAGTTACACTGTCATGATTATATGTGTTGTCCTCAATCTTAAGTTACACTGTCATGATTATATGTGTTGTCCTCAATCTTAAGTTACACTGTCATGATTATATGTGTTGTCCTCAATCTTAAGTCACACTATCAAGATTGTATATGTATTGTCCTCAATCTTAAGTCACACTCTCATGATTGTCTATGTATTGTCTTCAACCATAAGTCACAGTGTCATGATTATATGTGTTGTCCTCAATCTTAAGTTACACTGTCATGATTATATGTGTTGTCTCAATCTTAAGTCACACTGTCAAGATTTTATGTCTATTGTCTTCAATCATATATACACTGTCATGATTGTATGTGTGCTGTCTTCAATCTTAAGTCACAGTGTCATGATTATATGTGTTGTCTCAATCTTAAGTCACACTGTCAAGATTTTATGTCTATTGTCTTCAATGTTAAGTCACACTGTCATGATTTTATGTCTATTGTCTTCAATCATATATACACTGTCATGATTGTATGTGTGCTGTCTTCAATCTTAAGTCACCTTGTCAAGATTGTATATGTGTTGTCTTCAACCTTAAGTCACACTGTCATGATTGTATATGTATTGTCTTCAACCATAACTCACACTGTCATGATTGTATGTCTATTGTCTTTAATCTTAAGTCTCACTCTCATGATTGTATGTCTATTGTCTTCAATCATAGATACACTGTCATGATTGTATGTGTGTTGTCTTCAATCTTAAGTCACACTGTCATGATTGTATGTGTGCTGTCTTCAATCTTAAGTCACACTGTCAAGATTTTATGTCTATTGTCTTCAATCATAGACACACTGTCATGATTGTATTGTGTTGTCTTCAATCTTAAGTCACACTGTCAAGATTTTATGTCTATTATCTTTAATCTGAAGTCACACTCTCATGATTGTATATGTATTGTCTTCAACCATAAGTCTCACTGTCATGATTGTATGTCTATTGTTTTTGATCTTAAGTCTCACTGTCATGATTGTATGTCTGTTGTTTTTTATCTTAAGTCACACTGTCATGATTTTATGTCTATTGTCTTCAATGTTAAGTCACACAGTGATGATTGTATATGTGTTGTCCTCAATCTTAATTCACACTGTCATGATTGTATGTCTATTGTCTTCAATGTTAAGTCACACTGTCATGATTGTATGTGTGTTGTCTTCATTCTTAAGTCACACTGTCATGATTGTATGTCTATTGTCTTCAATCTTATGTCACACTGTCATGATTGTATGTCTATTGTCTTTAATCTGAAGTCACACTGTCAAGACTGTATATGTGCTGTCTTCAATCTAAAGTCACACAATGTCAAGATTGTATATGTGTTGTCTTCAATCTGAAGTCACACTGTCATGACTATATGTGTTGTCTTCAATCTTAAGTCACCTTGTCAAGATTGTATATGTGTTGTCTTCAATCTTAAGTCACACTGTCCTGATTGTATATGTGTTGTCCTCAATCTTAAGTCACACTGTCATGATTGTATATGTGTTGTCTTCAATCTTAAGTCACACTGTCCTGATTGTATGTCTATTGTCTTCAATCTGAAGTCACACTCTCATGATTGTATATGTATTGTCTTCAACCTTAAGTCACACTGTCATGATTGTATGTGTATTGTCTTTAATCTTATGTCACACTGTCATGATTGTATGTCTATTGTCTTCAATCTGAAGTCACACTGTCAAGACTGTATATGTGCTGTCTTCAATCGAAAGTCACACAATGTCAAGATTGTATATGTGTTGTCTTCAATCTGAAGTCACACTGTCATGATTGTATGTCTATTGTCTTCAATCTTATGTCACACTGTCATGATTGTATGTCTATTGTCTTCAATCTGAAGTCACACTGTCAAGACTGTATATGTGCTGTCTTCAATCTAAAGTCACACAATGTCAAGATTGTATATGTGTTGTCTTCAATCTGAAGTCACACTGTCATGATTGTATGTCTATTGTCTTCAATCTTATGTCACACTGTCATGATTGTATGTCTATTGTCTTCAATCTGAAGTCACACTGTCAAGACTGTATATGTGCTGTCTTCAATCTAAAGTCACACAATGTCAAGATTGTATATGTGTTGTCTTCAATCTTAAGTCACACTGTCATGATTGTATGTCTATTGTCTTCAACCTTAAGTCACACTGTCATGATTGTATGTGTGTTGTCTTTAATCTTATGTCACACTGTCATGATTGTATGTCTATTGTCTTCAATCTGAAGTCACACTGTCAAGACTGTATATGTGCTGTCTTCAATCGAAAGTCACACAATGTCAAGATTGTATATGTGTTGTCTTCAATCTGAAGTCACACTGTCATGATTGTATGTCTATTGTCTTCAATCTTATGTCACACTGTCATGATTGTATGTCTATTGTCTTCAATCTGAAGTCACACTGTCAAGACTGTATATGTGCTGTCTTCAATCGAAAGTCACACAATGTCAAGATTGTATATGTGTTGTCTTCAATCTGAAGTCACACTGTCATGATTGTATGTCTATTGTCTTCAATCTTATGTCACACTGTCATGATTGTATGTCTATTGTCTTCAATCTGAAGTCACACTGTCAAGACTGTATATGTGCTGTCTTCAATCTAAAGTCACACAATGTCAAGATTGTATATGTGTTGTCTTCAATCTGAAGTCACACTGTCAAGATTGTATATGTGTTGTCTTCAATCTTAAGTCACACTGTCATGATTGTATGTCTATTGTCTTCAACCTTAAGTCACACTGTCATGATTGTATGTGTATTGTCTTTAATCTTATGTCACACTGTCATGATTGTATGTCTATTGTCTTCAATCTGAAGTCACACTGTCAAGACTGTATATGTGCTGTCTTCAATCGAAAGTCACACAATGTCAAGATTGTATATGTGTTGTCTTCAATCTGACGTCACACTGTCATGATTGTATGTCTATTGTCTTCAATCTTATGTCACACTGTCATGATTGTATGTCTATTGTCTTCAACCTTAAGTCACACTGTCATGATTGTATGTGTATTGTCTTTAATCTTATGTCACACTGTCATGATTGTATGTCTATTGTCTTCAATCTGAAGTCACACTGTCAAGACTGTATATGTGCTGTCTTCAATCGAAAGTCACACAATGTCAAGATTGTATATGTGTTGTCTTCAATCTGACGTCACACTGTCATGATTGTATGTCTATTGTCTTCAATCTTATGTCACACTGTCATGATTGTATGTCTATTGTCTTCAATCTGAAGTCACACTGTCAAGACTGTATATGTGCTGTCTTCAATCGAAAGTCACACAATGTCAAGATTGTATATGTGTTGTCTTCAATCTGACGTCACACTGTCATGATTGTATGTCTATTGTCTTCAATCTTATGTCACACTGTCATGATTGTATGTCTATTGTCTTCAATCTGAAGTCACACTGTCAAGACTGTATATGTGCTGTCTTCAATCTAAAGTCACACAATGTCAAGATTGTATATGTGTTGTCTTCAATCTGAAGTCACACTGTCAAGATTGTATATGTGTTGTCTTCAATCTTAAGTCACCTTGTCAAGATTGTATATGTGTTGTCTTCAATCTTAAGTCACACTGTCATGATTGTATATGTGTTGTCTTCAATCTTAAGTCACACTGTCCTGATTGTATATGTGTTGTCCTCAATCTTAAGTCACACTGTCATGATTGTATATGTGTTGTCTTCAATCTTAAGTCACACTGTCATGATTGTATATGTGTTGTCTTCAATCTTAAGTCACACTGTCCTGATTGTATATGTGTTGTCCTCAATCTTAAGTCACACTGTCATGATTGTATATGTGTTGTCTTCAATCTTAAGTCACACTGTCCTGATTGTATATGTGTTGTCTTCAATCTTAAGTCACACTGTCCTGATTGTATATGTGTTGTCCTCAATCTTAAGTCACACTGTCATGATTGTATATGTGTTGTCTTCAATCTTAAGTTACACTGTCATGATTATATGTGTTGTCTCAATCTTAAGTCACACTGTCATGATTTTATGTCTATTGTCTTCAATGTTAAGTCACACAGTGATGATTGTATATGTGTTGTCCTCAATCTTAATTCACACTGTCATGATTGTATGTCTATTGTCTTCAATGTTAAGTCACACTGTCATGATTGTATATCTATTGTCTTCAACCTTAAGTCACACTGTCATGATTGTATGTGTATTGTCTTTAATCTTATGTCACACTGTCATGATTGTATGTCTATTGTCTTCAATCTGAAGTCACACTGTCAAGACTGTATATGTGCTGTCTTCAATCGAAAGTCACACAATGTCAAGATTGTATATGTGTTGTCTTCAATCTGAAGTCACACTGTCATGATTGTATGTCTATTGTCTTCAATCTTATGTCACACTGTCATGATTGTATGTCTATTGTCTTCAATCTGAAGTCACACTGTCAAGACTGTATATGTGCTGTCTTCAATCGAAAGTCACACAATGTCAAGATTGTATATGTGTTGTCTTCAATCTGAAGTCACACTGTCATGATTGTATGTCTATTGTCTTCAATCTTATGTCACACTGTCATGATTGTATGTCTATTGTCTTCAATCTGAAGTCACACTGTCAAGACTGTATATGTGCTGTCTTCAATCTAAAGTCACACAATGTCAAGATTGTATATGTGTTGTCTTCAATCTGAAGTCACACTGTCAAGATTGTATATGTGTTGTCTTCAATCTTAAGTCACCTTGTCAAGATTGTATATGTGTTGTCTTCAATCTTAAGTCACACTGTCATGATTGTATGTCTATTGTCTTCAACCTTAAGTCACACTGTCATGATTGTATGTGTGTTGTCTTTAATCTTATGTCACACTGTCATGATTGTATGTCTATTGTCTTCAATCTGAAGTCACACTGTCAAGACTGTATATGTGCTGTCTTCAATCGAAAGTCACACAATGTCAAGATTGTATATGTGTTGTCTTCAATCTGAAGTCACACTGTCATGATTGTATGTCTATTGTCTTCAATCTTATGTCACACTGTCATGATTGTATGTCTATTGTCTTCAATCTGAAGTCACACTGTCAAGACTGTATATGTGCTGTCTTCAATCTAAAGTCACACAATGTCAAGATTGTATATGTGTTGTCTTCAATCTGAAGTCACACTGTCATGATTGTATGTCTATTGTCTTCAATCTTATGTCACACTGTCATGATTGTATGTCTATTGTCTTCAATCTGAAGTCACACTGTCAAGACTGTATATGTGCTGTCTTCAATCTAAAGTCACACAATGTCAAGATTGTATATGTGTTGTCTTCAATCTGAAGTCACACTGTCAAGATTGTATATGTGTTGTCTTCAATCTTAAGTCACATTGTCAAGATTGTATATGTGTTGTCTTCAATCTTAAGTCACACTGTCCTGATTGTATATGTGTTGTCTTCAATCTTAAGTCACACTGTCCTGATTGTATGTCTATTGTCTTCAATCTGAAGTCACACTCTCATGATTGTATATGTATTGTCTTCAACCATAAGTCTCACTGTCATGATTGTATGTCTATTGTTTTTGATCTTAAGTCACACTGTCATGATTTTATGTCTATTGTCTTCAATGTTAAGTCACACAGTGATGATTGTATATGTGTTGTCCTCAATCTTAATTCACACTGTCATGATTGTATGTCTATTGTCTTCAATGTTAAGTCACACTGTCATGATTGTATATGTATTGTCTTCAATTTTATGTCACACTGTCATGAGTGTATGTCTATTGTCTTCAATCTGAAGTCACACTGTCAAGACTGTATATGTGCTGTCTTCAATCTAAAGTCACACATTGTCAAGATTGTATATGTGTTGTCTTCAATCTGAAGTCACACTCTCATGACTATATGTGTTGTCTTCAATCTTAAGTCACACTGTCCTGATTGTATATTTGTTGACCTCAATCTTAAGTCACACTGTCATGATTGTATATGTGTTGTCTTCAATCTTGTCTTCAACCTTCATATACCTGCATCACACACAGGTGATGATAAGTCACACTGTCCTGATTGTATATTTGTTGTCCTCAATCTTAAGTCACACTGTCATGATTGTATATGTGTTGTCTTCAACCTTAAGTCACACTGATATGATTATATTTGTTGTCTTCAATCTTAAGTCACACTGTCATGATTGTATGTGTGTTGTCTGAATATATGTGACAAAATGGATGTTATCACTCGGAAAATGATGCCAAAATATGACATGATTGCATTAAGTGTATTATATGATAACTCTAAGATATATGTAAGTTGGTAATCATGAAGTTTAGCTATACTCAATATCGTGTTGAATCTATTTAATAAACATATGTTTTACTTACTTATTAGTACAGTTGTGGTATCGCACAACGTTACCTGATGTTTGATGTGCGTACGATCTGCGAAAGATAGATAACTGGTCGATTAAAGCTTCCGCATATGTGTGCGCTCGATGGACGAACGGTGTGCGATAACAATCGTGATTGATGTGAAAAATAAATGGCTTAATAATTAATGTAATTTCGTTTTTAAGCCTTTATATATTTAGTTTCCATGTATGTTACAATATTTTAGCTAGATTTCTTGTTTTTCTTTGTAGGTGAATAATTAAATATACACTTTTTGTTATGTCTCCTCTTCGGGAAACCTACTGTTTTAGTACTGGTTCTTCTTCTTCTGTTTCTTCTAATAGTTTCTTGTCCCAGTCGTTACTTTTAAACAGTTTAATATCTTTTGATAAAATTTCACTATACCTGCATCACACACAGGTGATGTGAACTCTGTCAATAGGTAACTTTGACATTGAACTCAGGGTCAAAGGTCACTTAAGTGCTAACTTTTCAGTAACATCTTGTTCGGACTGTACAATTCAAATCGTTTAAGATATCTTTAAATAAAACTCGCAGTATACTTGCATCACTCACTGACGATGTGCAGTGCACTGTCGAAAGGTCACTGTGACCATGACTCAAGGTCAAGTAAATGCAAATATTTCAGTAACATTTAGTCGTGACCGAAACTTTTAAAATTAAGAATATCTTGATTAATCATATTGTTAAAGGTCAAATAAGTACATTTTTTTCAGTTTTAAATTTTGAAATTCTTAGGGTACTTTGACCTTCCACGTTATAACTTTTTAATTGTTTTTATCCATATATGCATTTTATAAATTCATCATTAGGCAATTTCTCCAATAAACTAATAATATTTATGACAATTATAAATACACAGTTATTTGACGATGTAAGCGTATTTAAATTTTGCAAAAGTAAAAGAATATTGGCCAATTGGGGAGACATATGTTGTCTGTACAGGTTGCTCGTCACCCGCGGCAGTCCGAGGCGTGCAATGCCAGGTACCTCACACAAAGAAGCTATAGACAGACACAAACGCTTTTAACAAGCATATACGTCCCAGTTGTGTTTACATAATGGTTATACGGTACATGGTATCACCGGTCAACTCAATGTGTCAGGCATAGTCCAGGCAAACCTCCGGTCATCATAATTTTATTCAATCGTTCTTTTACCTAGTCAGGACCCATTCTTGACAGTTTAACAGTGTCTGTAATATTGTGTAGCATGCATTGTAAAACTGGACATGATCCAACTTATACTACTCATTACATATATACAATATACTTTACATCATACGAATCTGCCGGATTATCTTGTTTCTTCAATATTAATCAAGCTCTTGTACCAATTCGCACATTTGTGCCGGCAGAAGCGCAAAACAGGGCGGGCGATTGTTTATCCGCACGATTGTGTGCACGATTTATGCACGATATGCATACGTTATTTGTTTGTGCGTTTTGTGTTCACACGACTGTAATACATTTATATGTTAATTATTTTCTTACATTTATAATGAATTATATATTTTGCTGTTATCTTATGAAACAGGAAATGTCGGTATCGTATTGAACGTGAAATGGGCGGAACCAAAACAAACCTATAATCCGTCTGACGTGTTTGCCGCGGAGCGGTACCTTGATTTCACACTAGGATGGTTTGCCGACCCAATCTTCCTGTCCGGAAAATACCCTCCTGTAATGAAGGCACAGATCGACATGAAAAGTGGACTCCAGAACCTTACAAAGAGTCGGCTACCAGAGTTCACCTCAGAAGAACGACTCCTGATTAAAGGTCATTATGTCGTTGCGAGAAACGTTTGGAACGATAAAAATACCTGAATGGGCCAACTGAATGCAATTAGTATATGCTTTCTAGTCTAGCTCTCTACTAGCTTTTTTCAATGTTATTTGTGTGTCTTCAATTGTTGTTTTAAATTTCATTTCAAAAGTCATGAATTGACATCACTTAATGTAAGTTTGTTCCTCTATATTACGGTACCTTGAAAACATAATATATTAAAACTATTAATGCAATGGGATTGAGAAAAATGTTATCCCAAAAATGTTTAATATTTTTGTCCGCTTTTTTATAAAAAAAAAAAAAAAAGAATAACTTGACTTAATATATCTTTATAATGTCAATACCTTAGCACATGATTAGTATATCATCAACAAAAACAATGTAGTTATCACTACGCTACCGACAGGTTCAGCTGACCATCTGGGGATCAGCTTCTATACATCACGACTAATCAGCAGTACTCAGCAAGCATCATCACCGCCAAGTTACTTTGATGACCAGGACGTCACAGCAGAAATAAATCAAAGCTGGCCCGAGTAAGTTACCTGTTTCCATGTCACAAAACGATCTAGGCTTCGGTTGAAAATGTTTTCTGATTTTTTCAAAGCAAATGATCATGCAAAGAAGAGTTCCACTTTTGAGAAACATGTACGATAATTACACTTGTAAATTAATGGATGACACATTTAAAGGGTAAACCCAAGAATTCCTGAATTGATAATACTTTATAATAAAGGCAACGGTGACACAAATCACGAGTTTAATTGTTTGGAGAACATATAGCCATAGGCCCAATTTTGTATATAACAGTAATGGAAAAAGGACTATGATGATAAATTAAAGCGCATTTAGTCTACAGGAATGGGCATACATTATTATACTTTGCGTTGTTAGGAAATATTAGTTTAACAATATAAGGGAGGCAACTTTACCACAGATCAATAGTATTGTGTGGAAGGTAGCGGCTAACAATATAAGGGAAGCAACTTTATCACAGATCAATAGTATTATGCGGAAGGTAGCGATTAACAATGCACAGTTGATAATAGATCCCGGTGGACTGATGGTCTGGTAAACATTAAATATACAGTAAACAATATGATATAACGACCGACTTTAAATTGCGGTTGTTACCCTTCATGTGGCCCAGTTTTAAGTCGGTCGTTATATCTTGAAACTTCTCGTATAGGAATTTAAATTCGTGGTTTTCATATATATTTCCAAAAATGAATTTTGAAAATAAGTATATTTACATTTGCTCTACATCCTTCCATTGTAATGCATTGCGAAGAAACAAATGTTGTTATGAGACTATAACAGCATTTGCTATTGTAACGTCATCAATCTCTATTGTGACGTCATCAATTCCACTGTTGTCAACACTTGATTTGCTGTTCAAAAGCTACTCGAAATAACTAAATAAAGAATAACTACCCTATCAAAGTGTAAATATAAAAAAAAAATGAATATTTTAGCCAATATTGTTATGGTCCTATAACAACATTTCCTAACACATTCATTGCTTCCATTGAATATTAACTTCGCAAATATGATATATAAACAAATGGAGACCAAGATTTGTTTTGTTTTAAACGAACGGTGGGTTGCTTTTTGCCAATTACATAGTTATGTCTCCCTTCGATATTGTATTAGTACTGGTTCTTCTTGTTGTTCTGGTTCTTCTGATTCTTCTTCTTCTGGTTCTTCTAGTCACAACTTTTCCGGGACATAACTTTTAAACCGTTAACGATATCTTGATGAAACTTGGGGTATGCCTGCATCACCAAAAGCAGGTGTGCAGTGCACTGGAATTGTGTCACTGTGACCTTCACCTAAAGGTCAAAGGTCAAATAAGTGCAACCTTTTCAGTGCATTCTTGTCCGGCCCGTAAAATTTAAACCGTTAAAGATATCTTTATCAAACTTGAAGTATACATACATCACCAACAGAAGGTATGCAGTGCATTAGAATTAGGTCTCGTGCCCTATTATATACAGAGTAATGGTCCTTTGTTTATTTCTATATCGAAGTTTGTCCACGGCATAACTTCCTAACCATTACAGATATCTTGATCAAATTGAAGTATAGCTGCATCTCCCACACAAGGTGTGCAAGTGCACTATGATTAGGTATCGTACCCAACTATATACAGAGTTATGGCCCTTTGTTTGTTTTTAAAACCGAAGTTTGTCTGGAGCATAAGTTTAATGTTATTTCACCTACGTTGACCAAACTTGCTATAGTTATGTTTCTTTGGAAGTAGGGGTGTCGCATTCTAAAATCGGGTCTTGTGCCCCACTATATAAAATGATACGACCCTTTGTTAATTTCTTATACCGAAGTTTGTCTGCAGCATTAGTTCCATTTTATTTTTCCTACGTTGACCAAATTTGCTATATTTATGTATCTTGGGAAGGCGATGAGTCGAGTACTGAAATCGGGTCTCGTGCCTCACTTTATAAAGAGATATGGCCCTTTGTTAATTTTGTTATACCGTATTTTGTCTGCAGCATAATTTCCATATTATTTCTCCAACGTTGACCAAACTCGCTTTATTTTTGCACTCGGGCAGACGGAGAGTTGAGTACTGAACATCACCCATCTGTGCATAATCGATCGTAGATACAGTTATAATATTTGACTTTATCCGCATAAATTTATTAACCAGATTGTAATCAAATGTGTGATAATTCTTATTGTTATATACATGTAAATGTGTCTATAGTACCACAGCTGCTGAAACTTAACCAAAATTGTTAAGACAATTTTACACGAACCAGAATAATTTTAATGGTTTAGAATTTACACACCTTAATCTTGACCTTTTTATTCTTCCAAATTTGCATATTGGCTAATAAGGGGAGAAATACGTTTTTGTTCACAAAAATAAACTTCTAGTTATTAAATGAAATCCTTTCATATAACCTAATGGCAAATAGGACAATGAAATAGACTTTAATTGTTTAATCTAACAGTAATGTTCATCGAAAAGATTTCGAGAGTACGATATCAAAGCGCAGCGAAAATACCTACAATGTGTTTCATTTTGATTCACGACAATGATTGTTTTTTGTAATTGTTGACGTTGTATAAATGACGCCCTTCTCATGCTTTAATTCTAAAAAAGAAACAGGCATCTTTTTAATTATGCTGATGAATGCTAGACAATCGGAAACTAAGACTTTTTTCGGCTTAAAAAAATGTTTGATTTAAATGACCATTAAAAAACGTATCGTTTTATTTGAGTACAGGAGTGGTTCGTCATGGTTACGTGTGACACCGTTTGGCATGAGAAAGCTGTTGAACTGGGTTAAAGTTAAGTACCCGGCTGTACCTGTGTATATAACGGACAACGGAGTGTCGGACAGGAACGGGTCGGTACAGGATCATCACCGTGTCCAGTACCATAGAGATCACATCAATGAGGTTCTCAAAGGTCAGTTTAACAAGAGGATAATTGTGATCACTTGCTTGGCGATTATTCAACACCGAATTAGTTGTATTTTCCTATAAACAACATATTTATGTATTAAAATTTGGAGAAAAATGTCTGTAAGCAATCGGAATATTTGCCATGACAATTGTATCGAAAATACATTTCAATTCTTGAATTACATTACAAACAAAGAATGTCTGAATGAATGCATTTTCTATCACTAAACTTATGTTACCATTTGAGCGAAGCAGTAATGTTAACGGGAACATGATCCTATGTTCACATAGTTCTCGAACCAATCTGGTTCTAACCATGACATCTACCATCAATTGACATTATTTCAATTTTTAGCCATCAACCTAGATGGATGTAGTGTGCAGGGATATTCCGTATCATCTTTGATGGATCAATTTGAATGGGGTGCCGGCTACACAGAGAAATTCGGACTCTACAATGTTGACTTCAGAGATCCTCAGCGTACAAGAACAGCGAAATTATCAGCAAATTTTATCAGAAACATAGTTACAGCAAACGGGTTTTACAAGGGTCTGGAACCACTGCCGTTCCAGGACGACTTTCTGTATGGATCCTTCCCAGAGGGCTTTGCGTGGAGCGCCGCAACAGCCTCCTATCAGGTGGAGGGTGGCTGGAACGAGGATGGTAAACATTTGAAGGAATACTTTTCTAGTTCTGAAAATTAACGTGACATATGCCATTCACTGCATAGCGTCAAATTTCAGCAAACTACATGCACCAAAGAGCAAACCTCTTATAGTGGAACTCTTTGGTGAAGAAGACATATTTCATATTAAGGCAACATACGTCCTTAACAGATATTTGATTGTGATCAATTAATTTGCTAAATAATAGTACATCCCCTTACGACGGCCATGTCATGACTACTAAATGTCCAAAGATTTATTATGAAACTTCTGAGATACAAATGTCTTGACACTTCATGATCGTAGCGAGATATCAACAGTTTAGTATTGTTCGGCCATACAGTGTATGTTTTATCGCCACACATTTTCATGATAATTTAAATATCGGGACTAGACGATGTGTCATGTAAAATTTCCAAGTCCTTACTCCTAAATTCCATGGCAAAAGGTCAAATATCATATCAAGCTCGTAGTAGAATGCAACTTCTGATTCCCTCTTTGTGTATGGTGACTTTTAGGAGTGCTATAGTCATGTTAAGGTGTCGAAGGTCACAACTTCTGATTCCCTCTTTGTGTATGGTAACTTTTGGGAGTGCTATAGTCATTTAAGGTGTCGAAGGTCACAACTTCTGATTCCCTCTTTGTGTATGGTGGACTTTTGGGAGTGCTATTCCCTCTTTGTGTATGGTGACTTTTGGGAGTGCTATAGTCATGTTAAGGAGTCGAAGGTCAAAACTTCTGCACATTTTAAATGAAAGTTTAAGAAAACATTATATGTTTTTGTAAAAATTTGAAATTTGTTCGCCAGAAAAAAAATCATCAGAAAGTTGACCGTTTTAATCCATTTCTTTATAAGTCAACCTTCTATAAATCTAACTTCGATGATTCGAAATTCTCGATGTGTCGAACTTAGAGCAAAGTCCAGAATTTTCCCTTTATAAAACACTAGTAATATTCGTTTAATGAATCAAACTTTCTCGCTGTTTCGAAGTATAATCACATTCTGATTAATATAGTGTTCTTCTCTTAGAAAGGACTGGTCATGAAACGGAAATTAATGTATTCTTTTTGAAACTAAAAATGATCATGGAGACGTTTGATTGTATCAACATTTCTATAATCATTATTGCATTTTATTTCTTAACAGTAATTTTTCTCGCATCACAGGTAAAGGACCGAGTATCTGGGACACGTTCTCTCATCAAGGTCACGTGGACAATACTGACACGGGCGATGTGGCGTGTGACAGTTATCACAAATACATGGACGACGTCCAGCTTCTCAGGGATATGAAGGTACGCTAGAAGAGAAAAGTATTGTCAATGTCAGCATTAAATAAAACAAATCCAAATTCGATATCCTCATTTCTGAGGGGTTTTCTGTAAACGAATATTTGTAGTTTTCGCACCATTGATAATGAACTACAGTTTATCGGGAAAGTTATACCAACTGAACAAGTTTAATTCATAAAAGCGTGAAGTTCTCCCTTTAAAGCTTGGTACTGATATTTGTATTCATTATACATTCATTACTATTGGTATAAAGGGTAAAATTAAGACGGAGGAAAATATGTTCTTGTGAATTGTATTCTGAAAAGCCCGAGGTGATTTTTACAGTGGGGTATTTCAAGCACGTGTATGGGAATAATAGCTTATCAAAGAGTTCTCTATCGAATTGAACAGTGTTTAAACAAATGTGCTGATATTGTAGAACACTTTTTGAAAATCTTGAATATTGAACTCTCAGGTGACACACTATCGGTTCTCCCTGTCATGGCCCCGGATATTACCGGACGGCACGACACGCTATGTAAACCAGGCAGGGGTAAATTATTACAACCAGTTGATAGACGCCCTGTTGGACGCTGGGATCACACCCATGGTCACATTGTACCACTGGGACCTACCTCAGGCTCTACAGGACAGAGGCGGCGGCTGGCTCAACGCCTCAATAGCTGATGTCTTTGCCGACTACGCCAGACTTGCCTTCCAGAAATTCGGGGACAGGGTAAAACAAGATATTGTACCTTCTAAAGGCCAGTTATAACTGTTCAATTTTAACTTATTTGAATCGTTTCAATGTTGAACTAACCATTTTATGATCACGTAGTAAAGCAATTTCAAACAACGAAATGGTCTTGTTTAATACCTGTAATCATGTGTATCAGTTCATCCAACTGTCTGTTTGCCTGTAGATGGTCAATGATATTGTCCGGACTAGTAGTCCGTCCAGCTTATGATGAAGCAGAACCAGGGTATTAGTTAACTTTTAACTAACAGTTTTTGTTGGATTCGTTTCAAAGGTTAAGACGTGGATCACCCTAAACGAGCCTTGGGTTGTATCACTTCAAGGATATGGGCAGGGCATCAAAGCCCCGGGGATTGTAAGCCCAGGGGACAAAGTATACATAGCCGCCCACAATCTCATCAGAGCCCACGGCAAGGCCTACAGGGTATACGAGAATGAATTCAAACACACCCAGCATGGTATGTACTCAGTCACATTTGCATTACTATTAGGTATGATATTTCAGGGAGGAACTGCTAAGGAGAATGTCCATCTCTGGAGTTTTCCATGAACGATGAAAGCAGTTTACAAACAGATTGGTTGGCTACATTAAGACATATGTCTTGTTTTTAGCTCATCTGCCCGAAGGGCAAGTGAGCTTATGCCATGACGCAGGGTCCGTCGTCTGCCCGTCGTCCATCCGTCCTTTAAAACGCTACGAGTCCTGAACGGCTTAGTGGATTTTAACTGAATTTGGTATAGAGCATCATTGGGCTAAGGACACTCTATTTTGTATGTGAGAAATAGAGGTAAAACTTGTAAATTCTTCTTCTACCATAGGGATTAAGGGATTTCATTCCAATTTGGTCTGGAGCATCCTTACGCCAAGGGGACTCAAATTTGTATAAAGGGTGGGTGTAGGCCCCCCTAGGAACAGATCTAGAGGAGAGGGCACAATAGAAGAAATAGAGGTAAAACTTTTGAAATCCTTCTTCTACCATAGGGATTACTGGATTTTATCCTAATTTTGTCTCCATCAAGTTGTGTAGTAGTGCCTGTTACTCTTAGGGTGTATTCGTTTAAACAAGATGGCCACGAGGCCGCCATTTTGGATTTTGACATTTGAAGTTTGTTCTCGCTATATCTTTATAAATACTGGATAGATCTTTCTGAAATTTCATACGTACATACATGGAGTGCTTTATCTTAACCTCATATCAAGTGCTTTAAACATATCGAGGTGAGCGATAAGGCCCTCTGGGCCTCTTGTTAAAATTTATCACATAAAATCATAAAGACTCAGGGTTTCACAACAGACTTACTGTTTGTTTGTGTTTTACATCCTATAAACAGATATGGCTATTTAAGGACGTGCCAGGTTTTTAGTGGTAGAGGAAAGCACGAGTTCCCGGAAGCAAAAACAAACGACCAACGCCCAGTACCTAGCGACTGCCCAATGTACAACTGTATGTCTCGAACCCAGTGGTGAAGGGGNCACCGCGGCCCTACACATCTACTTAAACCTCTTCTTAAAGATGTCGCAGTGCTTGCTACTACTGCTTTGGTTAAGTGCAGTCCCTTTATGTTTATCCGTAATGCATTAACAGTGTGGCTAGTGTTTGTTGTACTGGCTTCGACTGCCATGACAAACCGACTGACTGGACTGTAACATAGGATGGTCCGGTTTGTTTAACTGTTTAATATTGATTATAGGTGAATATCTGTTTCTAGGGAAGGTTGGCATCACATGTAACTGTGACTGGGAAGTACCTAAAAGTGAGAGCGTTCCCTCCGACCGCGATGCTGCCGAGCGTGCACTCCAGTTCCACTTTGGATGGTTCGTCAATCCAGTGTTAAATAACGGAGACTACCCTGACGTCATGAAATGGCAGATCGGGAACAAAAGTGTCATTCAGAATCTGACACACAGTAGACTGCCTGAGTTTACATCGGAGGAGAAACAATATTTAAAGGGTACATGGTAGTTGTACCGGGGACAAAGTCATAGTCAAATTTGTAATAAAAACATCGTTTCTGTTATCAGATTTGATATATATGTTGCAACAATTTCATAGCAAATATATATTCATTCCCAAACGTCATCATATTTGTAAACAGTTGTATATTATACTAGTCATATAAAACCGGAAGTAAGAAAGGTAATGAATCACTTAAATGAACACGTGTCTTCACTTGGGAATCCGGTTTCCCCTCAAATGAAGTTCCTCTGTGGGCTTTCATCTGTTCTTACAAGACTGATTTTTATATGTTGGAACTCTTATAACTACTACCTTCACATTCACAATTCTATACACTCGAATTAATTTTTCTGGTTGCATTATTTCAGGAGCCACAGATTTTGTAGGCCTGAACTTTTACACGTCCAACCTTGCGGAATACCACCTCGACGACACCTATAAACGGGATTACTACTCCGATATGGACGTCAGTTTGTCTAAAGACCCGTCATGGCTTGGGTAAATATTGTTAGAATACCATCACAAAGATGTGTATATATCATTGGTTCAGTATTTACCTAGGAGGAATACCATGACGTCAATTCTTTTGCGGTAAATTCCATACCGTCCCCCTTGCGATTTCTTGGTAAAAACTTGTGGGAGGGTTGTAAATCTTTTTCCATGCTGTTTTGTAATGTAATTGATAACGAGCATCAAACTTAATAATTTACATTGTTGATTCTGTACCATATCGCCATTTTGTCTATTAATTCTTATCATTGGAGATAAGGGTTCAACAGAACAGGACTTTGTTTATCGCTTTTTAATTTAATTTTGTGATTCCCTCTCGACGTCTGAGTTCGAATCCCAGTCTAACGGTAATATAATGTACCGACCTGCTTCACCTGTACGTTTACTATGCTACAAATGAAACATTAAGATCGCCACCAAACTTAGTAACACCGATAGACAGTTTTTCTGAGGACTGCTTTACATGCTTTAAGAGCTGTGTTACATACAGGATTTGGAACATATCACACATGTTATATTACTGGAGCGTTATATCACTTATCAAAAAACAGATAAACATATCATACTTAGTTATAATGTTTTATTTTACATCCATTTTCTTTAGGTCTGGGTCATCATGGCTTAAGGTCACTCCATTTGGAATTCGCCGTATGCTGAACTGGATCAAGGATCACTACGGTGACGTTCCTGTGTTTATAACAGAGAATGGCATTTCTGATAGAAACGGATCCCTGTCTGACGATCATAGAATCTTCTACTACAAACACTACATCAATGAAGTTCTAAAAGGTCAGTTTATTTTTGTGGAATTAATTGATAAATAAACCTGTTCAAGTATCATGTTATATATTATCATTGCAAATAAAAATCTCCAAAATATCAGAAAATGACAGAACATGCAAGAACCGTTAGTCGAGAATGGCTTGAATCGGTGGAGGTTGCTTTTTTGCTTTTATTTGCTTGTATATATTTGCGTTCTGCTTCAAACTATATTTGCAAATCATTATTGAGTTATATAAAGTTTGTAATGAAGTTATAAATTCAGGGACAGCTGAAAATTACTAAGATTATTATTCTTTTATATGTATGCATATTTTATATATCTAGCAGTATATATAGTACATCGCTTATACTTACTATCAGGCCATATAAATTTTCTTAAATCCTTTTAGACAGGCCTTCTTCCTTAACAGAACATTAAAAATTCAACAGAGAACTAAGTTTATATTTTTGTTTAAGAATCACCTACATGAAATGTAAAATACTATCCTTGATTCCTTTTATGTTCTTGGAAAATCAACGATTTGTAGGCAGGCAAAATATAAACTATCTTTATAAAACATAAATGTCTGCTTTTTGACACTTGGCTTTTTATCACTATGAAACAAAATCAGAGGGAAGCCATTAGAGACAGCAGTATAAAAAAAATCAAATTTAAAGGGAGTATATGTAAGATATATATTTGTGTTGTCTGATTCTGGTACCCGTTCACTGCAGCTATTCGCCTAGACCACGTGGACGTACGTGGGTACACTGCGTGGTCCCTGATGGATAATTTTGAGTGGTCTCGGGGATACTCGGAGAGATTTGGTCTCCACTACGTCAACTTCACTGACCCAGCGCGACCTAGGACGCCTAAGGCCTCAGCCCACTACTACAGACACATCATCCAGAACAATGGGTTCTACCAAGTTCAGCCCACAGTTCATACGATGACCACGCAAGCGCCATCTACTCCCAAAAGACATGATCGTGGAGTTTCCGGATCTCCTTCTTTGCACCAACTACCTTCACTTTCTATCACTGGACTCCTTATCGGACTAAAGTTTCTAGAAACTTTGTCAAAATAGTTGACTCTTTTTGTTTGTAAGGAATTTTCCATACCTTAACAAAAAGGATTTACAGAAAGTGATTGCAAACACCAGTTACAAAAAGGAGCCAATTAACATAGAAGAAAACTTGCATTTTTTAACTTATTGTTTGTTAACATTTGGTTAATCTCCTTCCTTATCATTTAGTCCATGACCTGGTAATGTCGTTATCATTAAATGTGAATAATACATAACACAATTTTTGACAGGGTGTATATCTTTCGAGTTTGAAACTATGTGATAGTATTTTATTGGTGGTAGACTATTTACCTTTGTTTTTACGCCTTCTTTTTAGACCGTTTATTAACCCTTCCCGAAATAAAAATTTCTAAATCCACATAATACAAGAGAACTCATTTATTTCTAGTTACATTGTTCTCCATTAATATAGGCTATATGTTTAGGAAATCGTTATGCACGTACAATGTAGCTCACATAATCGGTCATTACAAATGTTGTTACAACCAGCATTGTTTTTTGTGTTTTCAACTGCAGGCACTGACTGAATCATTGCTGATAGATTACAAACAGATAACATTGTTTTCATAAAAGAATTTTCGAAATCCTTCTTTACAGATATACCCTAATTAAAAGGGACCATGTTTAAATACATGCATTTAAAGATGATTTAACCATACACTTAAAAAAATTGATCAGATTGAGAATGTTAAGTTTGATTATCATTTCAAATGTTAATGTTATTATAATTAAGCGATCAAAAATCCCGTCTGCTACGGGCAGGGACCGTACGTGCCCGGATGTACATCTGGAGGGAGTGGTGGTTTCCCTAGCCCAATATGGCCAGTCCTGAGGTTTTTCCGAACCATAGAACCCTCTTCCGGCTTCCGAAGTTTGGATTTTGCCAATACGTTCCCTTTGGTGCATAGTCTCGCCCATACAGCAGCGACACAGTGGGCTTTTGGGTTTTCTCCTCCTGGTGTGATTCGTTCAGAAACACAGGTCCAGTGGTCCAATGTCTTCTCGGGGTCATTGGGCCTGCCGCGAATAAACCTACACAGAGTCGCAAACAGTTTTCTGCTGGGTCTAAGTCTAAGTCAGTCTTCAAGGCCAAGAGTAAGAAGGGTTAGGGCAGCAAGAAGTTGCTTTCTAAGGGGTAGTGGAGTTCCTGACTTTCTTCTTCACTCAGTACCCGCTTGGGGAACTATATGGTCATTTAGTTCTTTTTTAATTGAAGGAAAGTATCATTCATTAAAAGCAAGATAGATACATGGTGTAAACCAAGCTTCAATAATCTGACAAATTAAGGTATTATTTTTCGTTTAGAGGGCGGGACAAACATTGTCCCATATCCTGACCTAGTATAACATCTACGAGAGAAATTTATAGTTTTTTAAACCCATGTATTTACATTTGTCTCAGACTTTTACTACACATAAAATAATAAGCAAACATGTTTCCAAAATCGGGATGATTTATAACACAGGACTAGCCACCGATATATGTGTCACGAAAAGCGTACATTTCTTTCTGGGCATGTTTAGCACTATTTGTTAGTACATTAATGATCCAAGCAAACGATGAGACAAATTTCAGTGTTTAAGAAAACGAAGCTGATCAGACTCGGACAGGGCACCAGAGTAAGGAAACAGGTTAACATTCTATTGATGGGATCCACAACCTTGTTCTGTTTAAGGATATTAGATACGGGTACCTGGTCCTAGATCCGCTTAACAAAAACATAATCTTTCAACACTTAATATAACAATTGTTTCGTCGTACTTCTGTCTCCTATTCCATGTGCTGTATTATTGCATACAACAAGCTATTAAGAAAACAAGACAATTGTCAGTGATCGCAAGGAGGACTATATAATCCTGATTTGTGATATATGGCCCACACTTGTATGACAGAGTGTGAATCATCTGTAAAACACGCTTCACTTTAATAACTGATAAGAGCTATATATCTGATATTTGAATTTAGCGTATTTGTCTCATTGAATTACTTTTAAAATATTTAATGTATAATTCATTCCACTGTGACTTTTCAAACGTATTTTGATTGTATATGTGAAAGGGTTTTGTCAGATTTCCTATTTATAAATACATGATGGAATTTGAAAGAAAAAAAAAATTAAAAGTACGTGATGGGGTTTTACTGACTTCGGTATGGATGTAGTTCGTGGTAAATTAGAACCATTTTGGACTTAAATAATATCTAATGATGAATTACAGACGTTTCGACCCAAAATCGTTACGCCCCAAACCAGTTCGCCCCAATTTTTTTTCACATCGCCCCAATTTTCAGTTCAGTTCGCCCAAAGAATGACAACCATATCGCCCGAAAATCCGTTTCGCCCCAAAAGCTATATCGCCCCAAAATTCCGTATCGCCACAACCGCTACGCAACTATATTGAACTATAGAAGGCAGGTAATGGGAGGTAACTCTTTCTATTTTAGAGCTGTGACTACTTCCTTGTCAACATTAAATAATCATTTCTTGTTTCGAATAATTTCGCGTGGAAATAATCTAATTATCTTAAACATATATATTATCTAAAATATACAATACATGCTTAACATAGATATTATAGATATGATACGTCAGCTACCTTCGGCACGCGTGAAAATAATCTAATTATCTTTTATATATACCTGAATATTATTGTACAAATATACATATATAGAGAGAGAGTTAATTACTTACAACAACAACAACAACTTACATTAACAAATGATACCACATAATATAACAAAAAGATATATGTCATGCACAATACATCACTTAATATTTGTGTGGGTACATTTTCCTAACGTTGTTATTTTAATAACACCTGTCATCAATGCGGCGACACAAAATGTTCAGGAACTAGGAAAATAATTGCCTCTCTGATCTAAGTTATTTACTACAGATCGTATGTGGCTTTGCTGTTTGTTTAATAGCTAAGTTTGATGACAAGATGTACAAATACCTAAAAGAAATCTGTTCTTTATAAAAGCACATGAAAACATGGATTTGTTGTTTATTTTAAAGCCATGCACACGCGTCGGTGTATGATGAAAGAATGTACACAATGCTACATTTCCGTAAGTCACATCTTATGGAAACATAAACTGAAAACGAACGTTAAAGGAAACATATCACTTTTACCTTTCTGGCTTTGCAAAACTAAAATTATATGTATATATTTGTTGCGCCGACCTTTCCGTAGTATACACGAAACAAGAGTTATTCCCATTAGCACGGTAAACACAATCACATAATAATGGGAAAATAAGCAAGCTCCTTTTTTCAGGAAGGGGGCGTTATATTTTTTTGGGCGAACTAGTTTGGGCGTTATGGTTTTTTGGGGCGAACTGGTGTGGGGCATAACGGTTTTGGGGCGAAACGTCTGACACCCTCTAATTATACATGGTCCGTTTAAACATTGTATAACCAATTTATCATATCATTGACTATTTGTTTTTGTTGCTTGCTTTCGCAAATTGCTTCGTATAACTACTGCAGACAATATTATTGCTTACAAACGCACAAGTGGAGCAAATATTAGAGTTTTTCTGCAACAACAGAGTTTGCATTGACTATTCAATCAATACTGCCGGCAACGACGTCAACTTGTAACGTGTCTGACTCAATATTAATTAACCATACTCTTAAAAGTGATACGTTAAATAGCGTTTTAACATACCCATTTACATCTGAATTTACTGTCATAACCATAGTTAACTACAGTACAACTGATTCAGCATAATTATTTATTTTCCAAATTGATGGATCTGGCTTTTGATGAAGACTATATAGTATAAAGTATAAAAAAAAAAACAACCTATATAGTAATAATAAAAATTCGAGGTTCTTATATACCGCTTTATCACAACCTAGTTCGTAGGTCGTCTCAAAGCGGTTTACTATATTTTGAATTGATATCGATCAAAATGCTCACAAATTATTTCTGGGACTTATGTACCACATGTATTAATTCTGAGCACACGCCATGTGCACCTTCCTGTAATAGTCGTTGTCAATGCATTGTTAACGTATCTACTCATCCACCTTGTAATAATTAGAGCTTTCTTACATTGACTTTGATAAGTAGTATTACAAAAAAACAAATGCTCTAGGTTTCCTCGTTCATTTTGTATTTCTTTTCTTTTTGTATTACGAGGGCAATTCATTAAATTCTGTCAAAAGTGTCAGGGATCAAATGAATGCGGTATGTAGTTTGATCTTTCTATTACAACCCTTTGAAGTATTCCCTCTTAGCAGAAACGCTTTCGCAATCGCGCTATCAATGACATAAACGCTGCTTGGTTGTATCTCCTTGGTTTAATGGCGAGACACTAGAAGACTGCACTGCACAGAACATCCTAAAGACAAACCGTTTCCCGGAAAGCATTTTCTTCAGTACTTGGACGTTTTTTATGTATATTCTATTGAAAGGCTTCAGGAATTCGTCTCTGTAAACATTTGCAATGATAAGTGTTCCCTCTTTGCGCGGTATCTGAACCACAGGTCCACTAGAATTGTAACAATTACAGAAAAAAACTGTCTTGGCTTTTTTAAAACGTCTTGCAATTGCTTGTAATTAATGCGCCTCTAGGTTTCAAAGTAATTGACCCGATCTCAAACCCTGAAAGTAAATCAGAAAACTTTCTTGAGTAACAGTAACCGTACTTTGCAATATGTTTTGTCACACTTCAAACGTTTAGTCATCAAACGGGATAACGACTATCATCCTTCATTATTACTTTCACAGCAGCAATGTACTTCGTTGTTCCGGAAACAACTTACCTGATTGGCCATGTGTCCGCCTTGATGTCAACGTTACCTTTATTTAAGCCTGCAGAAGTTTCTTAATGTGACAGCAGAGTTGCATCTTATGTTGCACAATTGTGTGTGTATATGTTTTACGGCATTCATAAAAATGCATACCATTCAACAATAAATTCTTGTCGAAAACGAACCTTGTTATAATATGTGATAGAACTGTGGTTAAATCGTGTCAAGCCCAGTTGATCAGACTTTAGCAACGAACCTTTTCAAACTAAAACAACGTCAATGATATAGCATATTTCGTAAGGGACCGCGTAATTAATTGGTAAAATCGGATAATGAAGTCACTGTTTTTATTGTTTGATAATTAGTTGTATCATGTACCTTCAGTTTAACTAAAATTTCAATGCGAACAGGTGTCCTAGAAATCCAAAACAAAAAACGTGTCATTCACGAACATCAAAATGTCGTTAGAATTTAACACATTATCAATATTTTTTTATAGAAACTATTAGCATTTGTCGATATTTTTGTTTGTTTGGATTTAATGTCCTCGCAACAGCAAGCGTTATAGGAGGACGGGCAGTTGTCGATAAGCTCAGCTTGCCATGTATACTGACAGGAGTTCGCGAGAATCTGGGTATTCTTAATTCCAATTTGACGTTTTGATTTGATGATAACAGGACATTGACGAAGAACCCATTGTGCCTTTTTGTGCAATAGATATCGCGAAATATATGAAACAAATTCAAATTCTGCTTCAACTGTAAACAGGCATATTTTATTACATTTCCGAGGGTAATAATAATTTTCCATAAAATAATAACATTTTGATTTCAATTTGTTTTGCTTAGGTGATAGGAGAAGCATGATAAAGTTCGAGTTTCATCAATGTTTTTTTCTTATTTGAAATACATATTTCTTGCATATAAACTTTGCAAAGATGATACACTGGATGTGCCTATATTTGGGAACTTCTCTCACTGTTCCACATTGCCTTTTCACTTAATATTAAAAAAAAACATTGAAATAATGGAGTGACCACTGTCACTCGGTCATAAAAAGGGTATTGCTTATTGGTTTGTGGATGCTGTGTACAGCATGGACCGAATAATTTCTTCGCAAAAAAAACACAACACTTATCTCCTTCCGCGAAAGATTTTTAGATAATGTGTTCATTATTTCATGATATGATCAATGCTATAATATGGTAAAACATATCTGTATCAGACAAAAAAATCACAGAAAATATGTAAAGATCTTTAACNAAGTGTTCCCTCTTTGCGCGGTATCTGAACCACAGGTCCACTAGAATTGTAACAATTACAGAAAAAAACTGTCTTGGCTTTTTTAAAACGTCTTGCAATTGCTTGTAATTAATGCGCCTCTAGGTTTCAAAGTAATTGACCCGATCTCAAACCCTGAAAGTAAATCAGAAAACTTTCTTGAGTAACAGTAACCGTACTTTGCAATATGTTTTGTCACACTTCAAACGTTTAGTCATCAAACGGGATAACGACTATCATCCTTCATTATTACTTTCACAGCAGCAATGTACTTCGTTGTTCCGGAAACAACTTACCTGATTGGCCATGTGTCCGCCTTGATGTCAACGTTACCTTTATTTAAGCCTGCAGAAGTTTCTTAATGTGACAGCAGAGTTGCATCTTATGTTGCACAATTGTGTGTGTATATGTTTTACGGCATTCATAAAAATGCATACCATTCAACAATAAATTCTTGTCGAAAACGAACCTTGTTATAATATGTGATAGAACTGTGGTTAAATCGTGTCAAGCCCAGTTGATCAGACTTTAGCAACGAACCTTTTCAAACTAAAACAACGTCAATGATATAGCATATTTCGTAAGGGACCGCGTAATTAATTGGTAAAATCGGATAATGAAGTCACTGTTTTTATTGTTTGATAATTAGTTGTATCATGTACCTTCAGTTTAACTAAAATTTCAATGCGAACAGGTGTCCTAGAAATCCAAAACAAAAAACGTGTCATTCACGAACATCAAAATGTCGTTAGAATTTAACACATTATCAATATTTTTTTATAGAAACTATTAGCATTTGTCGATATTTTTGTTTGTTTGGATTTAATGTCCTCGCAACAGCAAGCGTTATAGGAGGACGGGCAGTTGTCGATAAGCTCAGCTTGCCATGTATACTGACAGGAGTTCGCGAGAATCTGGGTATTCTTAATTCCAATTTGACGTTTTGATTTGATGATAACAGGACATTGACGAAGAACCCATTGTGCCTTTTTGTGCAATAGATATCGCGAAATATATGAAACAAATTCAAATTCTGCTTCAACTGTAAACAGGCATATTTTATTACATTTCCGAGGGTAATAATAATTTTCCATAAAATAATAACATTTTGATTTCAATTTGTTTTGCTTAGGTGATAGGAGAAGCATGATAAAGTTCGAGTTTCATCAATGTTTTTTTCTTATTTGAAATACATATTTCTTGCATATAAACTTTGCAAAGATGATACACTGGATGTGCCTATATTTGGGAACTTCTCTCACTGTTCCACATTGCCTTTTCACTTAATATTAAAAAAAAACATTGAAATAATGGAGTGACCACTGTCACTCGGTCATAAAAAGGGTATTGCTTATTGGTTTGTGGATGCTGTGTACAGCATGGACCGAATAATTTCTTCACAAAAAAAACACAACACTTATCTCCTTCCGCGAAAGATTTTTAGATAATGTGTTCATTATTTCATGATATGATCAATGCTATAATATGGTAAAACATATCTGTATCAGACAAAAAAATCACAGAAAATATGTAAAGATCTTTAACAGTGGCTTTTTTAATTAGTGAAAGTTCCAAACTATATTTGGTTCAAATTGCTACGCCTCGTATTCCAATACTCTAAAGTGTGTGTGTAAGAGTTTTCTCCCCTTGTCCATCATTGCGTAGTTTCATGCTCGCGACTTGTTGATAAAGTAGGCTTCGTGTTTTCTTTGTCTCAATGGAAAGTGTCTGAGTGAAAGAGAATGTTGACTTATACTAAAGTAGTCGTCAAGTTTTTAGATAGCTTCCCAATGCGACAGCAGCTGTGCCTAACGATTTTGTAGATGGCTTCCCAATACAGTCTCTAGATAATGGCTCGATTAGTGTAATACAAGTGCTTCGTGAATATGGCATATTGAATATCAAAAATTAAAACCGTATATACCTATTATTCACATGAAACAGAAACTGAATAAGTATTTAGGTCTTTAACCTTCGTTACAATATCGGGAGAAGGAGAGATACACAAGGGACTTGCATAAGTTCGTGATTACACCACTGGAAATAATACAATCTCGGTGTTTTTTTGTATAATTAATCATGACGATAACAAATTGTAATAATAATGTCATAATTATTGATTTATATTATATATATAACATTTTTTTTATTTATTCATTTAATCGTTAACTTTCCCATAATCTTACGGGACAATTTTGGTTTGCAGGGTTGTCTGGTCAAGGTCACTGTTACTATTTTTAAAAAGATCATTGTCTGCTGCTGTAGCAGCTTCATTCCTTGAAGGGTTTCCATCGATTTGAAAAACTAATTAAGCGCCAGTAAGAGACAGAAACCACAAAAACACTTGATTGTTGACGCACGGCTTTACTGGGCACCAAACCGGAAAACGAAGACACACACTAATGATATGACCTAGAACCCAGTATTTGGCAGTAGATCCGGAAACATAATGCACGGTAGTGGCGCTACCTCTTTTCTCTAAAAAAAACAAGGGACATATCCCACAGTTTGAAAAGTGTTGTTGCGAGAAGATAGCTACCCACCACTGCTGGCTTGGTTATCTGACCAAGTGTGTACATAGACATAAATACAAAACACTAGTACTTTAACTCAAAGTCAGAAATCTACCCATTAAAAACAAGGGGCATATCCCACAGTTTGAAAAGTCTTGTTGCGAGAAGATAGCTACACACCACTGCTGGCTTGGTTACCTGACCAAGTGTGTACATAGACATAAATACAAAACACTAGTACTTTAACTCAAAAGTCAGAAATCTACCCAGTTCAATTGTACATAATAAAGTCCCTATAACGGTTAGGGAGATTGCACTCGCGCCTTGGACGAGAGGACGTAGTAGGTTCAGGGTTGATTTTGTCCAGAGGTGGCAGCACAGGAGTACTGCTATCGTCGTCACTTGTTATAGGATCATGTGAATCATCATCGGACGGTAGAGAGTGCTGAGCTGGCACTGAGATCACCATGGGGATGTCCGGGATTTGAGGTGTAGATGCCTCATTTTAATGACTGTTGATTCCGCCTTCTCGTCATCAGTAGACCCGTATGCCATTGAGGAACCAGGGAAAGCATTGTTCACAATAGTATTTCTAGAAATTATGGGGACATAGTTAGCAATTTGTCCTAACATTAATTCCAACATTCTCACTTTTTGATCACGTGTCCGCCGCCTTGCTTTGGGTACAGGCTCGCCATCATCCACAAAACCCCTGTGCTGTGTTGTTCTCGTTTTCTTCTGCCATTGTACGCCATCAACCAGAAACGGGGCAAAGTTGGGGTCTAGAGAAAGGGTATACATGAGATTCTGCCTCCAATTCTCAAAAGAATTGACTGTTTCAGTTTTTGTAAGGCACCATTGTTTCGGGGCCCTGTGCGTGTAAGCCAATTTTTATCAAGGGCGTTCCACAGTAGAAATGACACCACGATGCGGTTTTAGACTGTTACCTTATTGTGCGTGGACGATTCGTTTCTTCATACGTTTGTTGGAAGATGTGAGTTCATATATACCGCTGCCACCACGCCAGTAAGAGACAGAAACCACAAACACACTTGATTGTTGACGCACGGCTTTACTGGGCACCAAACCGGAAAACGAAGACACACACTAATGATATGACCTAGACCCGGTATCGGGCAGTAGATCCGGAAACATATTACACGGTAGTGGCGAAGGTCCATAATATCAGACAAGTTTCAATTGTTTTAGCAATACTATGCTCGTTATATATATTTCATTGAAAATTATGATTAAGGGATGGGCTATTAAATTATGACCCTTACTCAAAAACATGTTCTTTATTATTTACTGCCATTCTGTACTGATGTACCACCGCCTTTATTCCATTATTTGAATACTACATACACAGCATCCATGAGTGCCCACGGCACTTTGATTAATATTAATATTACATTCTTGGGAGAAGAGAATAGGTTTTTTGTATAAATTAAAAATGTAGGCCCGTAGGGGGAAAAATGTAGGCCCGTAGGGGGACGTCAACATTTTCCTCGGGTTGGTAATTATACGTTTTAGAAAGGTTCATGTAGCACTTCCAATTAAGCGTTTACGTGTGATGTTTCAATGCCTTGCACGGTATGTACACTATCACTTTAATCAGAAAAATGGCAAGCGAAGCGTATCACAAAATTGCCTTTGGGGTCCCACTCCCGGACACTGCCATCAAAACTGAGCAACCATCTCTTATACTATGGGTTATTTCCCCCTCATCTATGCCAGTGTTTTTAAATATTGCTTAGTCTACTGTACATTGCTGATGTTGTAACAGCCTAATAAAATATAATTATGTTTGTGTGATCTAGATATCTAAACTGATATCCATAACGAAGAATAGCTGCACGACTGATATATCCCTCTAATCCAGCCACAGGACAAACCAGCTGATCCTCTTTACGCACCAACGCTCAATGTCTACCCAACAGTATGAGAAATGATACTCCCGGTGTTGTCGGCCATCTTCTAAATTTCCAGCGTAGTACAACAACACAGATCAACAGTTCGATCCTCACAAAAAAACAGTATTTTTAAGAAGGCTCGGTCTCTAAGCAATATGGATTTCGTTGGTTACAAATGTGCTTTTGTTATTTGTTTATCCATATACTAAATTATTTTCCGAAGCTTATCAGAACAACAATGGTTTGGCTTGTTTCACCTTAATTCTCGACTGGGCTTGTTCCAATTGGATAGCCTTAACACGATTCCTCATCTTAAGACTACATGTAGGATTTCCTGCCCTCGCATTAACCTATTTCCTCTACCATAGGATACAAAAATAGTTTTCAACTGCCCTATCAAATCTTAAACAGTTCCGAATGCTAAAGGCATTGGACAATGACATGTGATACTGGTCATACCAACAAAAGGACAATTGATATCATGCACTGAAGTTTTCCCTTTGGAATCTTTATAAACAAGGTACTTGCATACGTCATCTGGTGTTGCAGTTATGAGAATATGTCCGATAAAAGCTTAAAATTCCCTCTCCAGTACAGATTTCTTATTATTTAAGCCGAACTGTCTACTTTGTCCTGAAGATAATAAAGTCTAATTTGAACCCTATCTATATAAGATGGATCTCCTCACCTGATTGACAGTATATAAAACCCTCGTCATTGGGGTACACCAGGCAGTAGATACGACCGCTGGTATCCACATTCTCGGTATGTATCTAGGTAGATTCTGAAACGGCACCAAATACTACTTTAGCTGCGCACAGATCAGACACTAATGTCCTGGTAGAAAATCCATGTTTGTAAGGTTCCAAAATATCGTTGCCCTCCCCTTTCTGTCCTAACACTATCCTCCTAACACAGCAGAACTGCATGAACGGCTTCCACAATGGTAAGGGGTCTAGTTTGGAAAGATAATAGTGCATGACCTAACTTTCTGCTCACCCAGGAATCTCAATGCTAAGGATATAAGGAAAAATGGGTGGGAACAAATATGGTGCATCCTCCTGACGATATTTTGTGCGAACAGGTTTACTCCACTAGAACCTAACATAGGGCAAGTTGTATAGCGCTTCAATGAGTTTCCTGATACGTCCTTCATAACATTTGAGTCTAGAGCCATCAGATCAACCGGGTGGAGACCGCATTTCCTTTGAACTATATTCCATGCATCCGGTGTCAACATACACTCATTCAATGAAAACCTGTGAGATTCCCTATCAGCTTTTCTGCTGAAGGAATATACTGAAGCTTCAGACCAATGCTATGCTCTTGTGTCTCTTCAAAAATGTTCTTTACAAACTTACAAAGCTTTTCATCTTTGTAAACTTGGCCCTCCCATGCAGCTACAACTGTCAGATTGTCAACTCTAACATCAACCCTGTGATTAACTGACTCCTTATTCACAACACAAATGGTTTGAAATAAGGCGTGCCACCTTAAGTGGATCGGACGAGCATCTTCATTTCCAAAGGCATCGCCTAATGCTTCAGAGTGGTCTACAACAGCACCGCAGCCGCCAAACAAAGAAGCGTCTGTAGTGTTCATCTCTATATGGAATATTCCCTTCCCATCTATCCAGGAATTGTTAATGCTCGACCTCAGTTTTGAGTTCGTCGATCAACCTGACAAATTTTACTATTTTTCGACGCCAACCTTATAGCCCTATTTACCTCCAATACATACAACTTGGCTGCCTGTACTGGTAGCTTCAGGGATATGCATTTTCCTGCAAATTTCTGTAGGGTGCGAAAATCAGCACTTCGTCTCTCAAGAATGGAGTCGCGTAGCCTGTAGCTATCAAACATGTAGTATGGTAACATACGCGCTAGCTCTAAATCCAAATGGTACTGGGTTAAATAAAATATGCCATCCCGCGAATTGTACCCCAGCATATGTCCTGCAGTCTGGGTTAAGATTTATACGATCATACGAAGATTTGTTGTCAACTGAACTTATGAAAGAATTTGGTTGAATAATCCGCGGTACCTCCTTAAGTGTATCTAACACAAACGGTTTGTCAGCTATACAGAGGTTCAAATAGTCTCATCATGACAATAAGTAGTCACGTGGACAACGTAAACAAGTAAACTTGTGAGATATGTCACATGAAAGTGACGTTTCACACACAGATTCAGTTCAATGCTGTACACTCCACCAGCAAGGACGTTTCAGTGGCGGTGATCGGCAAAATCAACATTTGGATATTTTTGGTCGGTGTAAATATCTAAAACTACACCAGGTGTATGGAGAAGACACTCGAGGACTTCATTGCGTCCGGTAATAGACGTTTCGACGGTCTTGGGGAGAGATTGGCCAACATAACGCTGAATCAAAACCAAGCGTCTGCCGACCACGTGGCTTTCAACCCGTTCGCGAGTGACTTGAATTTTCGACTTGTGTCCCCCGGTCCCACAGGTGTGCAGAATGTGCAAGGTGCAGCCGGGATTAACCGTGTTGATATCCAAGGCGGATTTAATGCTATAAAGGACAGTGTAGCTAAAAACCAATTACCAGCTGAGATACGACTGCACGAATCGCGTCAAGAAGTTCAACTATCTGATCAGCCCGCATTCAACGTTATTTCAAAATGTGGACGATACGCCGAGACAGCTGTTCTGGACGCTAAAGAACCCGGTGAAGTGATAACTCAAGAAAAATTGGAGCAGTTATTCACAGTCAGCTTCGCACAGCTCAAGTACTTACAGGACGAATACGCATCTATTGTTGTCAGTGGCCATTACGACGCTACTACGTCAAAACTGCTTCGTTCCCTACAACGTAACACTTCCGGATTGAACACCGAATCCCTAGAGGCATTACGTTCGGCAGCAGCACTGGCCACGGTGACCCGACCCAAGAGACAGGGACGTACACAGTCTTCAGGACGACACCCTTTCCTATAATAATAGGTCGAACACAAATCTGACGTGTTTAAATCATATGGAACGAGAACTTTTCTCCAGCTGCCTAACAACTATAACTGTGAGAATACTGCGGACAAGGAAGACTGTTTATTGACAAAATTGTGCGATACAAAAGTAACATATGTACACTGCACCCCGCAAAGACTTACAAGTACATTAGATACATCGTATGGCATCAAGGACAGGCTCGGACATTTGATACATTGTACATTCAACACAGACTCGGGGACACGAGTGTACATTACGGTTCACGCCCTTACATGACGGGGTATTGGGTAGATAAATTGACTCGGGGCATGCACTATCATATGCATTCCCCTTAAATTTTCCTTAAAAATTATTAAATACTTTCTAAAGTCTATCCCTTTCACTCTCCAATCCAAAACCTCACCACTCACTCCAATGCTATCCCAAGTGTCTACATGCTCGTGGAGGTTACCTGCTATCTAATGTTCCAGCTCAAAACTACATCCCACTCATAACGAATAAAATTAAATGTCAATTTAAGTTAGAGGAGCATTTCCTCAGTCTCCATCCCTGAAAGTACAGGTTTAAACTGTTCTACAAGATATATTAAACACCTTTCCTAGGTGTACAAGAAAGTGTCCATTCACCAAAATTCCAAACTCTGGCTGTCCACATTAGACGAACTATAGTTATTTGTGGCTCAATCTAACTTCATTCTTTCTTAACCTTTGGACGGTTATACATAAAATGCCCCATCGCATTCCACACAAAGCAGGGTTCCTTCTAGCGGGGTTCTAGGTCTACCCCCCTGGCGAGATGGGGGGGGGGGGGGGGGGGGGG